GGATTTCAAAATAAAACTTCAATTAAAATATTTAAAACTTCCTTGTACTTCGAATAGAGGGGGGATTAGGAAGTTAATTTAATTTTTTTTTTTAATTTTATTTTTATGTAATAAAAATTTGTTTTCCCCAAATTCCTTTTAAAATCTTTCGAAAAATTTTTTTGAGATTATTTCTTTAATTTTAAAATTTTTTAAAATAAATATTAAAAATTTAAATTATAAAATTTACAAGAAAAAGAATTATTTACATTGATACAAATATTTATCCATTTTCAAAATTACCGACTATATAGCCAGTGTTGGAGATTATCTAGTCGGTGATTCTGACTTTTATTTGGAAAAATATTTAGTTATTTGATATTTTATACATAATTGAGTAAATTAGGCTTGGTAATGGATATGGATAATATCCGGATATATTGTGGATATATCCGGATGTGTATAGCAAAATCAGTGCCCATTATCAAGTCTGGAGTAAACTTTATTTTAAAGAATTTTAGATAGAAAAGTCTCATATATTTTTTTGATTGAGTAAACCAGACTAAACCAGATAGATTGAGTAAACCAGACTTGGTAATGGATACGGATAATAACCGGAATTTACCAAAAAAAGCGTTTTTAATATTTATTTAAAAAAATTATTTCTTTAAAAAATACTTTCCTCCTTCCCTTTTCTTCAAATAAACATGCACTTTTCTGTTCAAAAAAATTACTAAAAATTAATTGCAAATAAATATTAATTAATTATTTAATTTTATCTTTTTCTTAAAAAGGCAATTTTCTTCCAATAAAATTAATGATAAAAATAAATTTATTTCTTTTTTAAAAATTATTTTTAAAAATAATTTTTATTATTACAAAAGTATATATTCCTCCTTTTTTTTGTTAAAATTAAAAACCTGTTAGAGAAATTTTAAAATAAAATTTTTTTGTTGTAAAAGTATACATTTATAACCTTTAAAAGTATTTTTAAATAAATTTTATTTTTATTTTTAAAATATCACACACTTTTTAAATTCTAAAAATATATTTTCCTTTAAAAATTACATTTTTTCCTTCTTTTAAATTTTTATTTTTGTTTTTAAAAATTTTGTTGAAAGTTTGGACGCAATGATGTTAAAGTCGCGGATTCTAAAAGAGTTAGAAACTTGAAATTTTGTGAGGTTTAAAATTTCAGAATTTTTGGTTTTGTAGAAGCATATATGTAGCTATTTAATTCCTGATGCTGTGCTGTAGGCGGCATGATGTAATGGATAACACATCAGTCCGTTCTACTGAAGATGCTGGTGAGGATGCCGCCGAATAACCTTTTACACTAGCTAAAGGGGAGAAATAGCTATAGCCCAGCTGCTTTATTGTTTAAAATTTCAGAAACTATTTTTATTTCTGATACTTTCCCTCATAGTGATTTTTATCGTCATAAATTCTGAAAAATTCTGAAATATTTTAAATACATAAATTCAGTATTCCACACATTTATAGGCCTCTGTGCTGTATCCCCTTTGCGCCCAAACATCCCCTCTTCTAATTTTTCTACAAATTTATATATTTAATTTATTTTCTTTTAAATTTTATTTTGTTTTTAAAATTAAAAAAATGTAAACAATTAATTGAGAAGGTATGGCAATTTTAGAAATTTTTTTGTTATTGTCAAAATTAACCCATTTTAAGGGAAAAAAGGGGGAAATAAGAAGAATGATGATAACATTTAATAAAAAATATTTTTAAAATGTTGAATTAATAACAAAATTTTAGTAACTATTTTTAGATCATTTTTAGAAATTTATTAATCAAATATTTGTTGTAAAATTAATTAAATTATTTGAGAAAATATAGTATGTATGTGTACTTTTGATTTTGTTAATTTATTTTCGGGCGCAGAATTGTTTAGGCGTGTATAAGGATAAAATTGTTAAATGTTAGCCTTCTAATGGAAATATATTTAATTATAAATTTTGGGAATTTATCAGCATCTCGGATTTCCATCAAAATTTAGGTACTTTCCTGTTTTCGCCTTCGGCGCTAATTCTGATTCAAAATAATTTTAATTTTTAATCTACACAAAAATTATTCTTTTCTACTGATACCGAGTTCCTTAATTTTGTAAAAATTGTAAAAGATATAAATAAAGTATTTTATTTGGAACTTTAATTATTTTTAGTATTCAAAGATTATGCCATATTTTCGCATTATTTTTAAGTGGCCGATTCTAATTTAGTGTTTTGGAATGGGTCATCCTAATTTACACTTAAATAATTGTTAAAAATTAAATTTATATCAATTTATGTATTTAATTGGTTTATTGAGCGGTTCCTTATACAGGGAGACCATAATATAGAGGGTCTCTTATAATGAAATTTTCATAATAATTTTTATTTTACTCTGTTATTTTTAAAATATTTCCTCATTATTTATGCAACAATAATTTTTTAAAAGTAAAAAAAAATAATAAACATCCAAAAATAGATTTAATAATGAGGAAATAAATTATAAAAAATAACAAAAAATTTTTTTTTAATTTTTTAGAATATTAATAAAAAAAAATAATTTTAATAATAAAAACAACAAATTAATTAATAGAATGTTTATATTTATTTATATATTTATTTTATTTTTGTTGTTACAAGTTAAAATTGTGAATGGTCGACAACGTAGAGATTTACCTTTAAGTATGGACAAAGAAATGCTTCCGGTTAATTTTTTAGAAATTTTTTTAAATATTTTTTTGTTAGAAAATAAGAGGAAATTAAAAAATAAAATTAAAAAAAAATATTTTTTTAATTTAATCAATTTCTAGCCCCAATATTTTGATGAAGAAGCGCCTACTTGTTTGGCAGAAAGAGAACCTTGTGGATTTTATAGTTTTTCTTTAGATGGAAAAGCACCTTTAAAGTGGATAAAATCTTGGTAAATTTAAATATTTTTATTTTTAAATAATTATTTTGGGGGGATTCTAACAAAAATTTATATTTTTTAATCAAATATTCTTTTTTAATTTAAAAAATTAATTTTTTTCTTCAAAAAAAGGTGTCGTTGTTCATACAAACATGAATGTGTTTATGAACGTACAGATATGCGAATGCGTGTATATCGACAAACTTGCGTCTCCAAAAGCGAAATTTCTGATAATGACGAAAAAATAATTGAAGGATATCAAAGAATTGAGGAAGAGGAAGAAGAAAATAAAAGTAAAAATAGCCCTAAACATCATCACCACCATCACCGCAAAAATCGAAGGCATTTACATAAATTACATCATTTAAAATCTTCAATTTATTAAAAAATATTGAAATTAATTAATATTCCCTTAATATTAATAATTTTAATAATTCTGCCCTTTTCGGCGCTAGCAGTGTTTTGGGCGTGGACGTTTATAAAATAAATGGATAAATTTCAGAATTTTTATCCATTCTCCCACAAGATTTCAGAATTTTTACTAAAATATTTCAGAATTTATAATTAAAAATATCAGAATTTTTGGAAGCTTTTCGACCAGAATTTCGAAAAAATAAATTTAGAAATTCTGAAATTTATTAAAAATAATTCAGAATTTCAGAATTTTAAGTTCAGAATTTATTATCAGAATTTTATTTTTATAAACACCCAAAGTTTTTTAAACTTTCTTAGAAATTCTGAAAAATATTTCTTCTAAAGAGAAGTAGCTAAAAAATAAATAAATCGTTGTTTATTTTTAATCTTTTTTCTCTTCTGTTGCTACTTCTTATTAAATACAAGATCTCATCTCTTAAAAATAAATATAATTTCCTATATATTTTTAATTTTGTTTTCTTATTTAAATTTAAAGCTTTTTATTTAAAAAAAAGCTTCTATTTTTCTATTCAACACAAAAACTAAATTTGTTTGTTGATCCAATTTATTAGTAAAGTATTTATTAATAAACTTATTTTTTTTGTCTTTTTTATCTTAATAAATATTTTTAATAAATATTTTTATTTTTTTTTTCTATAAATTTAAAAGGAAGAGGCTCACAAAGAAGAAATTTCTAAAAAAAAGTAAATAGGCAAAGGAATTTCAATGAATCTTTTAAGAAACTTTTCGACCAGAATTTCGGAAAAAATTTCTTTAATTCAAAAAAATGGTTTAAATTTTGTTATTTCATAGCTAATTTTTTCAAAACTTTTTTTTCAATTTTTCATAAATATTAATTTTATACAAATATTATAAAAATAAAATTCAAAAAAAATTTAATTTAATAAATAAACTCAAAAATCACCGTTTACGTCGTTCCCTCAAATTTTCTCCATTTCTATCGTGTCTTCTTCGTTCTCTACTTCTACTAGATGAACGTCTCTTTCGTTCCCAATGATCCCTTGAAGAATGTTTGTCTCTAGAAGAATAACGTTCATATTTTGAAGATTCTTCCCTTTCAACATCCCTTCTACTTATTTTTTGTTTTTCTCTCCTTCCATCGTCTTCAATACTTTCATCCCTTCTTTTCCTTTCTTTTTTATCATCCCGACGACGATCGCTAGTAAAAGAACGTTGATGGTCAGAACGACGAATTGTTGCATCTTTTGAAGGAGAAGAGGACATTTTTTGTTCAATGGACTTTGCACCTAATAATGTTTTTAAAAAATAATTTTGATAAGGTTTAAATGAAAATAAAAGGATAAAAAATAGTAAAGAATGCTTTACTCTTTCTCTATTTTGTAAGGAAAATGATTTTTCAAAATACGAACATAAGGATTATTTTCAGTCGAAAAACCAAATAAACTATAAAAACTCAGCATGGAGTCGATATTGAGAAAAGGGTGGTCTTTTTCGTTCCCAAAGATGTTTTACAATTAAGAAAAATATGATGGGCTAACTAAATTGTAAAAAATGTACCATAAAATAAGGTTTATCTATTATCAGCAATGTACCATAAAATTGAAATTCCACTGTACTAGCATGAGTGGCTTTTAAACTCCTAACTTGTTTAACCGACTAAGAATAAGTCAATTTCAAACAATCCCTTTATTAATTTATTCTTTAAAAAACTAACCACTTTTAAGTTTCCTATCCCATTGATAATTTTTTGCCACAGACTGGCTAAAATCAACATGAATTCTTCTGTCATCAATCAAAACATTATCCATTTTCATAAAAGCTTTTTCACACTGTTCTGGTGTTTCGAATTCAATAAATGCATATTGTAAGGAATCTTTAGTTCTTCTATTTCGAATAACTTCACAGTTAAGAATTGTGCCAAAACGAGAAAAAATAATTTCCAAATCCTTAAAAAATATATTTAAAAAATTTTAAAGTTTGAAATTTTATGCCCATCGAAATTTAAGTTATAAACTCTAAAATAACTGAATGATAATAGGAGTGAAAAAATAAAAACTCTGATCTGCTCTCCACCCCGTAAGTCAAAAAATGAAAAAATCCAGAAAGACCAATCCATAGAAATTCAAAATTTTTTTTGAATAATCTTAATAAAATTCTTAAACAATACCCCAAAAATTACCTAAAAATTTATTGGTAAGGGTTGGTCTTTTAAAATAAATTTTCGATGAAGCCAAAATCAACAAAAAAACCTCATCATTCGTTGCTGGATTCAATTTACAAACAAAAAGAACATTATCTGGAGGACGTTCTTCAGCATAATGTAAATCACCAACCATTTCCAAAATTTGTGCATGTTCTTTCATTTCTTTCTGTTCAAGTTCCTTTTTAATTTCTTCAGCTGTTTTACCCTCATTTTCATCAATACGCTCATCCAGTGCCAATTGATTTTCGAGCTTTAAAAATAAAAATAGCAAATTTTATTTAAAAATATCCTTTTGCTGTTTTAATTAAAATTTAATTGGTCAAAACTCTAACTAATACGAAAAAAAATTTCACTCTGATTTTAAAAGTTAAAAAATAAAAACCTTTAAAATATCAATTGTAGGTGAAGGCGAACGTCTTGGTATTTTTAAACGAGGGGGGTCTTCAAAAGGATCATCCAAAATAATTGTATGAGCAATTCTATAAATTAAATAAATTTTTTAACAATTTTTAAAACTCTCAAAACGTTAATTTTATTTTCATAAATTTTCAAAAAAAATTAACCGAATATCTCTATAAGGCCTATTTGTTTCATTAACAAGTTCTTCATTCAATTTCGACAACGTTTCTAAACCTTCCGCCACTTGCCCAAAAATGCAATGTTTTCCATCAAGAAAATCCAATTCATCAGCCAAAGTAATAAAGAATTGAGATCCAATAAGTCCTTCCCCATTATTAATCATTGAGACAAGTCCACGACGAGTATGTTTTAATTTTGGTACTTTCTCCATTTCGAAATAGTTTGCCTGTTCGCCGAATAAAGTACTAAAATAATAGGTGAATATTAATTTAAAGATATTGAAATTATTGAAAAAAATACGTTAAACGAAAAAATATCACAAAAAAGTGCCCTAGACAGACACAGACCTACGGCATAAAAATAATATCAGAGAATTATCTAGGGAAACTCGACCATTATGGGGAGTAGGTTGAGTGCCGCATTCCCTTCATATAGAGCCAAAAAGGATATTCCCAAGGAAGTTTCAGCAAAAGAATATCCGCAAACCAATTTTTAATTTTAGTAATTTATAGAGCCCGGACAGTACCCTACTACCCATGGTATTTCTCAGTATTCTGAACCGTCGTACGGCACGGTACAAAATTCCGGGCTATAGTAATTTATCGAAAAAAGACAAACCCAAAAATCGACTCTCCTCCTCTTCCAGTATTTGTTGGATCTCCAGTTTGAGCAATATAATTTGTCTCTATTGTAAAGAATTGGCAAAGATTGTAATATTTTGTTTTGCAAAGCTTCAAAAAGTTTTTGCAAGTATTTGGTCTTTCTTTAATAAATAAGTCAATAACTAAATCACCCAATGTTGTTTCTATTAATACGGCCATTCTATGATTATCTGAAGAAACAAGCAGATTATATGTAAAAAAATTTCTTAATTTATGGGATTACTATTACCAGAATATCAGTCCAAGATAATCTTTATACACTAATTAAGAAGACCAAAGGATAAAAAAAGCTAGAACAAAAAAGAAAATTTGGGGACGTGTTGAGACTCAAATGGTTAAAAACCTAAAGGTTTAGGCTTCAAAAGGTTTAGGCTAAAATCTACCACGTGACAAAAGAGTCTCAAAAAATGGCATCAAAACGATAGTTTTTGGGACATAACTTTTTTGTTTTTAAATCGATTTAAATAATTTTTGCTTTATTTAAAAGCTCTGAATGTGCTGGTTATTTTTCCCAAGAAATTGTTTAGTTGATACCGTCTTTCAAAAAAGTTACAAGCCGTTAACTGCGAATAATCGTGATTTAACATACTTAGCCGGGTGTAACTTTCTAAGAAATGATCGGACCCTTTCATAAATTTAATAAAAAGAATAAAAACAAATATAGATTCTAAATGATAAGGGAATTTTTTGGAAATAATCGAAATAAAAAAAGTTATGGCATAGGAAAAGGAGTTTCGATGATAAGTCGCCGAGACTCTAGTGTCAAGCAAGCCTAAAGGTTTAGGTTTGTGTTGAGTCTGAGAATAAATGTAAAGACACAAGAGTCTTGTTGACTTTTTTGACATAACTCAATCTTGCATTGAGTCGAATAATTCTTTTTTCACTCGAAAGGTTTCGAGATGTTACTTTTAATTATTTTGTAAATGTTTAGACTATACATATTTGTTTTTTAATTTCGTCTTCTGATGTCAGTTTCTGGAAATAAATTATTTAATTCTTTACCGGAAAATAATACTAAAAATTGTCACAACAACATTCTCAATTATTTCAAAAATGGACAAGAATTGCTTGATGAGTTGACTAATTTGGCTTCTATCGCCTATCAGCGTTGCCAATCGAGAAAAACAAAAGAAGAGGGAAGAGGAAAAGATGAATCAATGTGTAACGGAGAAGACAAAATTGAACATGTTGAATCTTCAGATAATGGAGGTTAATTTAAATTTAAAAATAGTCATCCTCTTAAGCCTTCTCATACAAGCGTGTGAAAACAAACTTGAGTATTTTTACTGAAGACCCAACTAATTTACAAAATTTATTTCAGCTGATATTTGTGATGCAACCAAACAGCGTCGAAAAGCTTTAGAAACAATTGCTGCCAACAACAAAAATTTACCTAAAACAATTGAAAGTGAACAAGCCATAAAAGAACGTTCAGAACGCAAATTGGATAGAGCTAAAAGACGTGCCCAAAATAGTCAATTGGTGCGCGAATTACGTGATGAATTGGAGGACAGACCTGAGGAAATAAGAGAAGAGAATCCAGTTTTTGGTATATTTTTATTTAAGGATGGATTTATTTGGGCAAAATTCAAAGCTTTTTCTTAGGAAGTGAGGGGAAATTCTAGGGGAAAAACCCTAATAATTTCTTGTGGAAAAAAATATATATCTAAATAATTGTTTTAATTACTCATCTCTTTAAAGTAATCAGATTTAAGAGTTGAAAAGTTGAAATCCCGTCCAAAAAATTTCTTAAAATATTTTAAAAAATTTTATTTTTAGCAAATGATGGCCTAGAATCTCGCCATGCAGAAGCAAGACGTCGTTATGAAGAAACTAATTTTGTACGTCTTGGAATGTCGAGAGAGGAAAGAAAAGCAGCAAAGAAGAGAAAACATAATACTTCAATGGTTGATGAATTGGAGAAATTGCTGGAATTTGGACGATATAGAATTGATAATGATGGTGAAAGTGAAGGAAGAAAAGGTTTTTTTAAATTATAATTGAAAAATAATTGTTTGGAAGTTTGTGTTTGGGGATGTTCTATTTTTGTACTAAAAAGGAATTGTAATTTTGGTTTCTAGCCCGGTACGAAAAATCGAGTCGGGCATCGAATTCTGGCCCGAAAAAGACTCAATCGGGACACCCCCATAAAAATGTGGCCCGAAAAAGACGACTCGAATGCCCGACTGAAAACGGCAACCCTAACTGTAATTATTGAGGTTATTTTTAAAACCATCCAAAAATTCTGATATTTCTTTAAACAAAATTAATCCTATCTATACAATAATTTAATTTTTTTAGTTAAAACAAATCGGAAAGGAAATAAGAAATTTGGAGCTAAAGATGCAGGTTTTTCAGCAAAAAGGAAAAATCGAACATCATTCAAAGCAAAAGGTACCAAAAAGAGGAAAATGAAGAAACGGATAAAACGATAAAGTATTTCTTTAATTTTAATTGTTAAAATTTGTTTAAAAAAATTTTTTTTGAAATAAATTTTTTACAAAATTTAGATCAACCACAGTATTTTATTAGATTAACTTAGGGGATAATTTATTTAGAGGTCCTTGTAATTATTTTGTTATTATTAACTCATCGACAAACTTAATCAGAATCCCTCTTCATTCACTTAATTCAAAAATTGTTTGACAAGACAATTTTTTCATCGATATCCCATTCAATAAAATATTTAAATTTATTCTTGTACAAATATATAAGTAAAAAAATTTTATTAAAAAAAGAAATTTCAGTTTATCAGCTGATTGAGAGTAAAAGAACATTTTATTTAAAAAAAAAGTCAAAATGATATTTAAAAAACAAAATGGCGATTAAATAAATTTTTTGGTTTTTTTTTAAAGTAATTGAGGCGAATTAAATTTAAAAAATAATAGAGTAGTAGTTTATAGAATTAACGGCAGCCAAAATACAAAAAAGATCAAATAAAGTGAAGAAAAGAAATTTTTCAGCTCTTTTTAGGATTTTTAGATTAGAAAAAGCAAATAAATGTGAAATAAAAATATATGGGCAAAAATATTTTTTTAAATCAAAATTTTTTTGAAAAAAATATTTTTAAAGTGTAGAGAGTAAAATATAAATATTCACAGAATTAGAGATGGGAGATCTCTAATTTTAGAGAATTAGAGATCTTCCTTTACTTAAATTCAAAAAATTGACCAGAAGCTAGCCCTTGACAATTTTCAATGTTTTTTAACTTCTAAAATAGGAAGTAAAATATTTCCGATTCATCAATATCTTTACCTAATTTTTATATGGCTCACCTAAAATAAAAAATAAATTCTAAGGACATTTCAATAAATACAACTCTCTACACTTTAAATTATAAATCAGAAAAGAGAATTTAAATTTAAAAAATATTTAGCCCATAAAAGCTGTCATTAAAAAATATATGAGGTGTTTAACATATATAAATAAACAACAAAAACAATCATTTTTTAGAAATGATATAAGTAGAAAAGATTGAGGATCTTTTTATTTTTAATACTTATTTTTGTTTTAATTTTCCTATAATTTAACCCGTTTTATTAAAGGCTCGTTAATTGTTGAATTTCCACATGTTTGTGCTGTTCCACTATTATTTCCAAATTGCTGTAATTGAAGAAAACCACAACAAAGAGGAGAAAATTGTTGGTGTTGTTCAAAATGATTGTCATCACAAACTGAAAAAAAATTAAATTTTGGATGAATAATGTAAATTTTAAAAAGTAAGGCAATCTTAAGATCTCTTGGAGGGTTCCCGTTTAAAATAAATTAAATATTCGAACATTAACTGAATGAGAGAGAATTAAAATTTCAAAAAAAATCTGAGAAAATTTTCTAGCGGATAATAACAGGGACAGTTCTCTATCATTGGATGATTTAACAATTATTTTTTATGAAACTTAAATTTTCTTTCAATTTCCACACAACCCCAAATTCCCCTTATGTTCAATTTTCTCTAAAAATCACATAAACAAAATCTAGATTTTATAAGATATACCTCCACCATTATTTTCCTCAAAATGAGACCACTCAGATTGTGAATACCACGGCCTCTTTCTTGATTCAAAAATATCAACTTGCTGATGAGTATTTTCATTTTCTACAAGTTTAACATTATCCAAATTTGTTAGACAACGAGAATTTTGTTGTTGATTTTCACCTTCTAAAGGATTGTAGAAAAGAGTATCTTCATTTGAGAATTTCATTATATATGGCACCTAAAAAATTAATTAAAATTTCGTGTCCTATTATAGCCCCAAAACCCTTTACGAAAAATTCCCCACAAAAAAATCAACTATTCCCCTCCAAATATTTGCCCAATTTTTCATTTAAAAAGCAAACCATGCTAGAAAATCCAACTAAATGTTGTTGAGAATGTTCAGATATTTCATCAATTAAAGGCTCAGCAGCCCTTTCCATTAAAAACAATTTTGTTGTATTTCCATCTTTTTCTAATAATTTATCGAGATGTTCACTTTGTTGTTGGTCATTATCGAGCATTAAATTTTCTGTTAATAAACCTCCATTTAAAGAGTCGAAAGATGTGTCAATTCCTCCATAAAAATGCCATGATCCGTTATAAATATCTTTATTTCCAGATAAAAGAGAATTTTCAACTGCATAACTGTTAAGAAAAATGTTTTTTTGAGTGAATAAAATTTTTTTGAAGCTCTGATACTTTCCCGATTTGTAACAATTAAATATTATTTTTGTATCAACTTAAAGATTTACTTATTTAAATAGAAAAAAGCCCAAATAAGTCGAAAATACAAAAAACTTTCCCCGCTCCCCTACATACCTTTCTCATCGTCTTTTTAAAGTTATCAGAGAGTAGGGGAAGAGGACTGTCCATAAAATAAATTAAAATTCAGAATCTATTCCTACATTTAAAAAAAATTATTTTTTATAATTTTACAATTGATTTTGTTGTATAGGCACTTTTTGGAATTCATCTTCTTCCACTCCCCTCTTTTCTTCATTTAATTGATTTGGCCAACTACCATAATTAGCAGCTGTCGAATAATTAGAAATAGAAGAAAATGATTGTGTTGAAGATGAACTATTTGAGATGGTTTCTTCTTTGTTTTCTTCTTCCTCCAATAGAATATCTTCTTCTTCAACAGACGTGTTATTTTGGTATCTAAAATATAAAATTTTTTTCAAATCTTCTCAAATAAATTTTTCAAGTTAGAAAAGGGATGAGAGGAATCTCTAAATAAAATCCTTAAATTTAAAAATTACCTCGGCCTAAAATCTTCTCTTTGATCAGTTGCAGTCAAAAGAGCAGCTACAGCTGTTTCTTCTTCTTCCTCCTCCTCTTCTTCATCCCCATCTTCTTCATCCTCTTCACCTTCAACCTCATCATAATCCTCTCCTTCCTCTTCCTCTTTTTCTCCCCCCACTCTTCTATATTCTTCTCTTATTTTAAATTCTTCCATTTCGTCTTCCTCTTCCCTTTCCATATGTCTATCGTCTGCTAATTGTGAAGATATCCAAGAAGTTGTAGAAGTTAACTAAAATTGAATTTTTTTTAAATTGGAAATCGATATATGAGAAAGGAAGGCCGTTTATTTCTAGAAAATATTTTTAGAATTATCCTAATCATGTTTAATTTTTGCCGTTATAACAAGGGTAGCACCCCGAGCCTTCAGTGTCGGGGATCGGGGTTTGCCGGGAGCCTTTGGGTCGGGTGGGGAGTTTTTTCCTCATTGCTGCACCCCTAAAAATTCGTCGTGGGTCAGTGTTACCCTAGTCATAACTAAAAAATTATAACTTATTCCTATGTTAAGAATCAGTATTTTTGTCAAATTCCCAGTCAAAACAAAATTTAACTGTGACACAAATTTTAGAAAATAACTCAAAAGAGCCTCCCTCTCCTTTAAAATAAAAAAAATAAAATATACATTTTGTTGACATTCTCTAGCATCCAAATATTGTTGCTGTAAATTCTTCGTTTGCTGCTCTTGTGATAACATTTGTGCAACAAAATTCTTTATTAACAATCTATTAAACATTCAAAACTTAAAAGAAAGGTTTTTTCCCTTTAAAAACCTTTTCCTCATTGCTGCACCCCCACAAGAGGCTTTCTTTTTCTCTCCTTTATCTGAACATTTTTCCATTGCCAAATTGCACATATACGAACTTTAAAAAATAAATTTTAAAAAATTTAAAGAACATTCTGCTTACAAAACATCATCTGAAACATTCTCAATTCCTTCTGGCAATTGGCAAGGCATTTTTTTATTATTAATTAGTTAAAAACAAAATTAAAAAAAGAAGTTAGCTATAAAATCTAAAAAAGTAAAAATTTTTAAATTAAATTTTGACAACAATTTTATTGAAAATTGGGCCCTCAGAGTCGTGAAAAATTTTTTAAAGAGAATAATGACAAAAAATATGTAATATATTTATTTTACAAACAATTCAATGTATCATTTTAACAAGAAATTTTAAATAAAAATTTAATCCGAATTTTTAAAAAATAAATAAAGCGTGAATAAGTACATATGTATGTATCAGTAAAATGAAGAAAAAACATTTATAAGACAAAGATCGAAGGTGAAAAAAATTTTAACAGAAAAATCATGACAGTAAATCCATCCTTCTCAAAATGGATGGCAAAATCCATCCCTCAAAACAAAGATATAAAATCAAATCTTAAAGCTTTATTAAAACTCACAAATTTCTAATTTAAATTTTAAAAAAATTTATACACAACTTCGTTTCTAGTATTTTCTGAAGTTGTAAAAATCAAAAAAAAATTTTTTGTTAACAAATTCCAATTTTTCTTAAATCCAAAAATTTTCCAATTTTCATTCCCAAATTTATTTTTTGAAAATTTTACTAAAAATCTTTTTATTCTTCCCCCAATTTTATATCCCCCCTCCCCTCTAATTTTTAAAGATATCACACACATTTACTATTTAGTATATCTCTCAATTTTAGTGCATAAATTGATTATTTTTCCAATTGTGAAAATTAATAGAATAAAAAAAGAAACGAGAAAAGCACCCAAATAAATGACGTACTTTTTCCTCTTGTCTCTTTTTTAAATAAACCATTTTTCATTGCAAAATAAAAATATAAATTGACTAAAAAAATATTCCTATTTTGTGTTATTTCTTATTTTTTTCAATCGAAGAATTAAAAAAAAAAAGACAAGAAAAAAGGTTGGTTAAGTGAAGAAAATAGACACACACAAGTGAAGCGCGCTCTGGAAAATAGCACATATTTTTGGGAAGATACCAGGGAGGGCGTTAGAAAAAGATAGGGGATAGATTTTTTTTTATATTTTTATGCGCCATCACTTCAACATTAAACTATTTTAGAAAAAGACAAAAAAATTTTTTTATTTCCTCTTTCAATAACAGCAGTTCATCTATAAAGACATTTTTAGGTAGCCAATGGTTTTGAGGGCTTAACGAGAGCGCTCGCATCTCGTTACCAGGCTTTTTACATTTCAAAATAAAATAAGCGAATCGGAGGGCCTTTTTAGAGGAAAGTAAAGAGTTTGTCTAAAAATTTTTGGTTGCCCAATGGTAGTGACTGGCTTGACAACCCTTCCAAGGAGTATATGTGGGAAGGAAAAATGGGAAGAGGAGGGGAGGAAGAATCGATGTTTAGTCGAAGCGAAGACATAAAATGTTGTATGGGGGAGCGAATGAAGTGGTGGCAAAAAAAGGAATTGGCTGCGTGCGTCATTGCTAAAATTTTTGCTGTAGTAATGAGGGGGAGTTTAGAGAAAGAAAAGTCGGGGATAGAGAAAGAGTATATATATGTCTCTAACTCTTCAACAAACTTCTCTTTTTAATGAGGCGCCTGACTAAACAACACAAGAGAAACTGCTCGTCAAAATGGGACGCGAGCGGCGGATTGTCACATTGAGAAAAAAAAATGAGAATGAAGGAAATGGAAAAAAATGAAGAAAAAACTTTCCCCAGAAAAGAATTACTCATTCGTCAAACGTCATTAAAGAAAAAAACAGGTCTAACATTTACACAAATGTAGAGAATGGAAATAAATAGAGATATAAAAATTTAAAAATATTTAATATTTTGGTGTACCTTTAGCAGACGACGAGAAAATCTATTTATTAAATTTGAATGTTTTTTGCTTAGAAGAACTCACTGAAAATTATTTCCATTAAAAAATGCATTTATTCTTGTTTTAGTTGAAATTTTGAGTTTCCTCACAAAAAAAGAGACATAAAGACTTTGACAAGCCAAAGATTTACATATTTAAATTTCATACTTTTGAGGTCATTCAATATTTTTGAAAATTTAGTCTTTTGGGCATTGTTTTGTAGGAAACCTCCTTCCAGGTTAGTTACTTTATATTTTTGGACTAGGGTCACTCATAACTAGTGTCGCAATTTTTAGTAGTCTTTTTCTGAACTTCTTATGCTCTGAAAATTTTCCTAGTGCAAAATTAAGATATTTTTTTCAAAAATTTAAACCTATCAGAATCCATTTTTACTGTCAAACATGCTTTTGATCTTCAATTTTAATCCAAATCAAGAAAAAAAATTTTCTATTTTCTTCCCTAAAAATCGTTAGGGTGCTTGAACTTTTTTAATTGCTTTACGTTGCTTCCCCACCTCGTAGATAACCAAATTTTAAAAACATCGTAAATTTAGTACCTAATTTTTGAGTGGTATTTAAGTTCGGCTGAAAATAATTTTGAATAGCTCTGATTAAAAAAAATAATTTTAGAGCAAACCAAAATTACAAATTTTTTAGTATTTTAAACCTGATATACAATATTTTTAAATCATTCATAAAACATTTTCATTATTCTCTAATATATTTAAAAAATTTACAAAAAAATATTTTTAAATTTATCCCGTAATAAAGTAAAATAACTAAAACAAATTTTTCTAAAAATATTTTCTACTGATCAACGAAATCTGAAAAGTTTCTTAATGTATTTTTTGATCAGTAGAATTTAAAGAAGGCATGAACAAAAAAAAAGAAAAAGGCACAAAAAAATAATGTAAAATTTGTTGCACTTTTCTAAAGACGAATTCTAAAAAAGAGAATCTCCTCATTTTTCGACAAAAAAAGTAATCACCACAATTCCCTAAAAATTAATAAATTTTAAAAAATCCTTCAAGTCATTTAATTATTTTTCGACCTAGTACCACCCCTCCCCCTTCAAAAAAATTAAAACTAGAATTATCGAAAATTCCTCAATATTTTCTGTGTGGAAACCGAAATCCTAAAGGAATCTCTATCAGAATTGTCTTGAAAATTTCGTAGTTATAGGCCTATTACGGGACTTAAAAATAACGGTACTTTTCAACGTGTCTAAACAAGTCTATCCTACCTCTAATGCCCGTTTCCCCCCCCCCCCTCTCCTCTTCCCATTAAAAAATTTTAATCTAAAAATTATACCAATGCGGTTTCGATGAATACGTGTCCCTCAATGGTTTGTTTGTGTAATTTAAAGGAATATCAATATTTATAGAAGGATTTGTATACAATAAATATTGCCTAATACGCCTTCTAAAAATTTAAAATTTTAAAAAATTATTATTTAAAAGAAAATAAACCCTGAATTTCCAGGCAACCAAGCACATGAAATATTTGCCTTTCTATTTGTATCATCACTAACCTTAAAAATTTTTATTTTTAGAGCACAAATTTATGGAAATCTCCCCCTTTATTTGCTAAATCTTAACTAGTCAACTTCCCATTTAACATAAAAAAGGATTAATTAACCAAACACTTTGATAGACTGTCCATTTTTTACATATTTACCGAAAAAGCACCGGGCACCCTATTCCTTACAAGTGCCGAGAATTTTATTACTGGATTGATGCTTAAACCCCAGCATCGCCAAATTAAAAATAATATTAAATAACTATAATGTCTGTCAATACTGTCAAATAAAAATGTCGAAAAAATGCCCAATAAAAAATAAAGAAAATTTAAAAATATAAAATAACCAACCATATCAATAAAATCATCACTTCCAACCTCAGAATCAGTAATTACTAAATTAATTTTTTTAATTTAAATAATTATTTTAAAATTAAAAAAAAATTTAAAATTTTTAAACTTAAATAACAATTCACTTGCAATTTTGGCGCCAGCTTTTTGGGCATTTAAAACTTTATCAATAAAAGGGCAGCCACTATAAATTAAATTTAGAAAGTTATTTTTAAAAATGCCTACCCTCTCTCTAAAAGAATAACTTCTCCATAATTTGAGCTAAGTTCTTCACATCCTTCTGGTGGATCAGAATATGTCATACTTGCATCCTTTAAAACAGTTTTAAAAAATAATTTTTTTTTATTTAATAAAATCATACTCTCAATGGATAATCAGGAAATCTAAAAATTAAAGAGAATTTAAAAAATTTTTAAATTAAATTTCTTACTTTTGTCCAATATGATAGGATGGATTTATCTAGAAAAATTATAAGTTTTCTTCAGAAATTATTTAAATAACCTGATAAAGATAGGCAAGGTTTTCCGGTTCTGAGATCTGGAAGAAAATTCCTTCTAAAAATTTAAAGAAAATTAATAGAAATTATAATAGAGCAGTGATTATTTTCTGTGTGTGAATCGAAAACCTAAAGGAATCCCTGTCAGAATTTTGAAAATTTCGTAGTTACAGGCCTATTACAGGACTTAAAAATCTCCAATATATAGACTAGATAGGTCATTGCTTTCAAGGTCGACTCGAATCGGTAATTCGGTACCAGGGACCCTGTCGGATTTTAAAAAGCGTAATGAGGAAGAGTAAAAATCGGAGTTCTGTGGAAATGGAAGATGTCCACCCGCACTCTATATCGATATACCAGCAAAATCGAGGATATCAGGACCTAATCCCCAAATCCTACAAACATTAAATAAATTAAAAACTAACCGTCTAAAGATAAAGTACAAATAATAAAACAAGAAAAAGCACCAAACCAAAATTTAAATTTCCTTGGAATAATCAACATTTCAATCAATTTCATTTCATCTAACAAAAAAAATAAATTTTAAAAAATAAAATTAAAAAAGCAAACCCCAAAATAACTGCGCGTAAAATTATGTTTAAGCATACGTGTACATAAAAATATTTTTTTAAAGAAATTGTTTACATGTAAAATAAGTATACATTGGAATCAATACCAATTGATTAAAGAAAAGCTAATAATTTTTTTTAAAATAATTTTTAAAAATTGTCTCTCTTATCTTTAATTAAAAATTATGTAAAATTTTTTTAAATTTTTATTAATTTTATCACGAACACAAAATTGTCTCGCACAATAATAATTGATATATGTATTATTAAAGAATATATTTTTGATGCCTGATTAGTAAAATATTAAAAATGATAGACACATAATTAAAAGAAAATAAAATAAGGAATTGCGCATTTTAAGGAATTTTGACGAGTCAAATAAAAAATCTTTGAGCTCCTCACAAAATTTACAAAAAATAATTTCATGGAAAAAATCCGAAAACAATTTTTTTTAAATTAAATATAAAGAGAAGCCCAAAGTTTGCACAGCAATAAAATTTTTAGAACAAAAATACACAAAGATTTTTGTAATTTAAAGAAATATTCTTTAAAATTAAATTACAGCCTTTGATGTTGTTGGTGATGATGTGGACTTGATTTATGTGATGATGATGCACTGTGATTTCTTAAAGTTAAATTTGGTTCGCTAGTAGATTTTTTTAATTTAGGAAGTCGAAGTTCGTCAAGAATTGAATAAATCTGACAAAAAATTAATTTTAAAAAAATTTATAAAAATAAATACCATTCTAAATTCAGGCCGTTCAGAATGTTTAAATCTTATACACTGTTCAAAAACATTTCGAAGTTGTCTGGGAGTATCACTCCGCAAATTTTTGATGTTAGGTCGAAGTAGTCCACTACCTACCATGAACAATATCTAAAAAAAAAGAAAGAAAGATTCATAAATAGTAAAAACAAACTTGGTCTCGGTCTTTAATATCGTCATAGGGCAATTTTGAAGTCAAAAGTTCATAAAGACATATTCCAAAAGCGTAAACATCAGACTGGGTGCTGTAAGGGTTTTCACATTGCATTCGAATGACTTCAGGCGCCTAAATGAGATTTAAAGATTTAAAAAATATTTGTGTAAATAACCATCCACAGAATAGAGCCAGTCGGATTTGGATTAGGTGCCCCATTGGGCAATGCATTTGTACGTGTCTTAACAGTGGCCAGTCCAAAATCCCCAATTTTAACAGAAGTTCCCTCAGCAAGGAAAATATTGTTTGTTTTTAGATCACTAAAAATTATAAAAAAAATAATTTTTAAAAATTAATTTTAAAAACCGATGAATAACTCCTCTACTATGTAAATAATTCATTCCTTGACTTATTTGTTTACAAATGTCCAAAATTGTTTGTAATTCAAAGTCCACTTTAGGTTCCAAAACATGTAAATGACGATATAAAGAAGAGCCCGAGCACCATTGGGTGACTATTGCCTTAAAATAAAATTTAAAAAATTTGAAAAAAATAAATAAAAATAACCAATTCTGGTTCCTTAATAACTCCCAAAAAATTAAGAACATTTCCATGACGTGCCTTTCTCAAAACTGTTACCTTAAAAATATAGGTTGTGTATAAAACCGAGTACAAAATAGAATTTGAAAAGTTACCTCGTTTTTGAAAGCCAATGACAATTCAGGGCCCGGATTGGTAATATTTAATTTCTTTACTGCAACAGTACCTAAAACGTAAAAAAATTCATCAAAAATTCCAAAAATAATCAAACCAAAATAATCAGCCTTATAAACAGTCCCAAAAGATCCATTTCCTATCTTCTCCTTCATAATAACATTTTCACTTCGAATTGCCCAATCTTCAATAGTTCCACCTCTTTTCTTGTTGTAACGCTCACAGCCACGACGTGGAATACCAACAATACCAGAACCTGGAGATGTTAATGCAGTGCTAGTCAATTCTTTTCCTGCAAGTGAACAGACACTTCCAGCAGTTGATGGAGAAACAGCTGCAAAATTCGCACGATCACTTGGACCTGGAAAATAAAAGGAAATATATCAAGAACATAAATAGTAAGTTCGTTTAGATGCCCGCCCCCGATTATCCCGGCTTAGAAAAACTTAGTTCTAGCCGTTACTTCAAAGTATGTTCGTTTAGATGCCCGCCCCCGATTATCCCGGCTTAGAAAAATTTAGTTCTAGCCGTTACTTCAAAGTATGTTCGTTTAGATGCCCGCCCCCGATTATCCCGGCTTATTGCTAGTTACCGACTAGCTAAAATCAATAATTTATAAGAAATTACTTTTGCTTCGAATCCTCATTTGATCCATAAAAAAGGCATGTGAAGTTTTTTGAGGAGGCGCTGATTGTGGAGGAGTTAATGTGACTGGAGCAGGCAAAAAATTTCCACCAACAGCTATACTTGGTTGTTGCCCTTCAATAAGTAAATGTTGTTGGGAGTTCTGACAGTTCGAGACAAGAGGGCTCGAACAAGTTGACGTTGGAGATGCAGAGGCAGAAGATGATACCTAAAAAGGAATTCTTAAAAACAGTTCATAAAATATACAAAAACCTGATTAAAGCGTTGCTGAAATGAGTGAGGGAGTAAATGACGGGAAGACTGGCCACTAATAAGAGGTGGAGCCAAGCCAGTTGGTGTATTTAGAAGCGGCGGGAAGAGTGAAGAGGAGGACGTTGAAGAACAACTACAAACAGCTCCACCAGCTGTTATTGTACCACTTTGACTGTTTCCAACAATACTTTCACCGATACCGCTAGTTGCTGTTGTAATGCTACTTCCACTGCAACAGGCTTCTGTACTATTGATATGTTCTTCCTCATTGTCAAGTTCAGTTCGAATTCCATTAATAACACGAGTTAATGAAGGAGTGTGAGAACGAGGCTGAGAGTCAGCACATCGCTTGGGCGAGTCTTTAAAAAAGTCAATAAATAAAATAAAATCGCCAAAATTAACATACTAATAAAATTATACAATCCAGAATGCATTGAACTGGCTTGAAGTGTTCTCTAAAATATTCTTATTGACTTTTTAATTAATTTTAAAGCAAACCATTTGTTCAAAACTTAGTTCATCTCTAACAATATTAATATTTGGAGCAGATGAAGATCTGTCGCGGGTTTTATGAAGATTGCGTACAATAGCCAAAGACGATTCTTTTCGCCGAACACCCAAACCACGATTTACAATGTCATCAAGGCGGCCTAAAAATTTTTTAAAAATATTTCTCCTAACTGAAGAATATTAAAATGACCTTGCGAAGAAGTAGATGCATGATGGGCAGGAATGGAACCAGAAGACCCTGGTAACAAACTGTCAAGAAGTTCAGTTGCAATTTGTGCATGTGGACCGCTGTATTTCTCACAAACAATTCTTAATTGGCTTTCCAAATCACAAGAAATATTTTCTGGTTCGCACAAAGCTGGAACCTGACCCCAACAACGCTTATGAAAATTAAACTAAAAATAAGAATTCGCAACATAAAAGATCAAAAAACCTGGCATTTTTCACAGCGATAGCCTTGAAAAAGTATAATCCGGCGACAGACACCGCAATAAGTCTAAAATGAAATGGAAGATTATTAAAATTACAATTATTAGGCAAGCAAAAGAAAATAGGGTTCAACCAAAAATAAATATAGTTAAAATGGTTGCCTCTCGACCAGATTACATGTCCAATTGCCATTTACATGTCCAATTGCCATTTACACGTCCAATGAAAAGGTTATATGTGCAAACGAATTTTTATGCGTCTAATTTAAGGCGTAAGTACACGGTTCTGCGTCTTAGTACCTATGGTCCGGTACCGTGTGTGTACCAGAACCTCTGACAAAAAACTTTCAATTCCCATATATTTTATAGTAATAAAGCGCAGAACCAGGGCACGGATTGGACTCATAAAAATTTGATTGGACGTATAAAGGTGCGATGGACGCGTAAATTGGACAAGAGTTCAACTTTGATCTAATTTAACAACTTTTGTACATGAAACTCATTTACATCTGATTGCCACTAATTAAAATATTTTACCAAGGAAAGGAATGTTTTCGGCACAAATACATGATCAATGCCTAAAAATTAAGAAAATTACTTAAAATAAAAAAAAATACTTTTAAATAGCTGCATACACTCGCTATGAACCCATAATTCATTCCTAGTAAGTCTACGTGCCAATTCATCCAAATCTAGTTGTAAATCAATTTGTTCACTTTTAGGGTCAGAATCGCTATGAACTGAGCACATTGCAGGAATAATGTTTCTTTTCTAAAAATTACGAGTTTAAAAACAAGTAGGGTAATCGAGATGAGCTTAATAAAATAAAAATAAACAAAATTGAAAATTCTGCAAAAAATGATCATTAATTGGGAGGTCAATGGTTTAAAGAACCAAGAAAGGAATAAAGTGTCCGAATTTTTCTTTCACCCCAAAATGTAATATAAAAAATAAATACTTTAAGTATTGCTGAGATTGCTTCTCTTGCTGAGATTCCTGATCGAACATGAAGTTTAGAATGTTGTTGAAATGGAAGGTGTAAATGGATTAATTTGTGTTGTAAAGCTGGTTTATTATTTGTTTCCACCATACAATTTTTAACTGTATTTTTCATTACTACACCAGCAGCTGCCACATTTTTTCTAGCTGATGAATTTCGTTCAAGCTTTTTAGTAAGCGAATTTTTGGGCATTATTCTAAAAGAAAAAATTAATCATCTTTCAAAAACAAAATCCAATATGAAAGGTAGAAAATGAACAAACATAATAATATAGGTAAAATCAACCGTTTTGAGATGACTTAAAGTTATTAAGGCAACAAAATGAATTAAGGGAACAATGAAGGATTCATTCAATATAGCGCCAGAATTGCTGTAATACTGATTTTGTTCTGTTGGACGAATCGGGTTGGGACGAATTGGGCATGCAGAAATAGTATGGTTAACGAGGATAGACATTATACATAATTTTTCACAGGGCTCGGATTCGTACTTTTTTAAAAGTATTGTACTTTTTTATCGACCTCCGTACTTAAGAAATTGAATTTGTACTTTTTTGAAAGTATGTACTTTTTTATCAACATTTTTGAAAAAACGAAGAAATCTGGCTTAAGGACTCAAAATTCTCAAAATTTTCGCCTGCGGCGCAAAAAATGGAAGAAATCTGGCTTCTTGGTCTCATAAATTCTCAAAATTTTTGCCTGCGGCGCTGAAAACGGGAGGAAATTGGAGATTTTAATAAAGATAAGGCGGAGGGATATTAGTATATAGTGGGATTATACCAAGATATCCCTCTTACTCTCCAAATCCCACAATGTCTTTTTAATCTCTTCAAATTTGCCTCTCTCTATATCACCCAAATGACCAGAAAATAACCAGAATTCTGGTTATAACCAAAAAATAACAAGAATTTTTCGCTAAACTCGAAACCCGTACCCGAAATTTTTGGAGCGTACTTTTTATTTGCAAATTTTCTCCCTATGTACTTTTTTTACAAGATTTTGATACTTTTGAATGGCATTTTGTCGATCCGAGCCCTGATTTTTCATTTTAATTGCTGCCGTTTAAGTGCCAAAAACTGGAAGAATCCTTACCCAGAAATGAGGCAAATGAAAACGGAATGGTTAATATAAGATAAACTATCCAAGTCTGGAAAAGCATTTTTAAAAAGTACAAGAAAATGGCCAAAAAAGGCTAATTGAATCAGAAAACTTAAAACTACAATTTAACTACAACAGTGAATGTCACGTATTGGAATGCACAAGATCCTGAACATTTTGTGGCGACGGGTCAACCCGTGGAGGTGATTAAATTCTATTTGAGCTTTGTTGAAGACGATGAGGAGATCAGTTTTATATACAGTAATAAAAGATCCATTTCCTATCTTCTCCTTCATAATAACATTTCCACTTCGAATTGCCCAATCTTCAATAGTTCCACCTCCTTTCTTGTTGTAACGTTCACAGTTAATGTAGGATTGGTAATATTTAATTTCTTTACTGCAACAGTACCTAAAATGTAAAAAATCATCAAAAATACAAAAATAATCAAACCAAAATAATCAGCCTTATAAACAGTCCCAAAAGATCCATTTCCTATCTTCTCCTTCATAATAACATTTTCACTTCGAATTGCCCAATCTTCAATAGTTCCACCTCTTTTCTTGTTGTAACGCTCACAACCACGACGTGGAATACCAACAATACCAGAACCTGGAGATGTAGTGCTAGTCAATTCTTTTCCTGCAAGTGAGCAAACACTTCCAGCAGTTGATGGAGAAACAGCTGCAAAATTCGCACGATCACTTGGACCTGGAAAATAAAAGGAAACTTGGAGCTAATTCAAAATATGGAAATTCTAGAATATCGCCCCCGATTATCCCGATTTATATAAACTTATTGTTAGTTCTAGAAGTTACTTCAAAGTATGTCCGTTTAGATGACCGCCCTCGATTATTCCGGCTTATTGTTAGTTACCGACTAGCTAAAAATTACTTTTGCTTCGAATCCTCATTTGATCCATAAAAAAGGCATGTGAAGTTTTTTGAGGCGGCGCTGATTGTGGAGGTGTTAATGTGACCGGAGCAGGCAGAAAATTTCCACCAACAGCTATACTTGGTTGTTGCCCTTCAATAAGTAAATGTTGTTGGGAGTTTTGACAGTTTGAGACAAGAGGGCTCGAACAAGTTGAAGTTGGAGATGCAGAGGCAGAAGATGATACCTATAAAAGAATTCTTAAAAACAGTTCATAAAATATAAAAAACCTGATTAAAGCGCTGCTGAAATGAGTGAGGGAGTAAATGACGGGAAGACTGGCCACTCACGCTCGCTATTAACTAAGCACCGTACAGGAATAATGTTCCTTTTCTGGAAAATAAAAGAAAACGTAAAGAGATGAGAAACAAGCGGAGTGATTGAGAGAAAGTATGTTTTCATTAATAATTAAAAATAGATCAATCCTGTTAATTCATGTAGTATTCTCAACTAGACCATATCCAGGGTTGTATGGCCTAAAACTTATTCGAATTCAAAAAACAAATTCTTATCAAGAAATGAGGCAAGTGAAAACAAATGGTTAATATAAAATAAACTATGCAAAAGTGACGAAAAGAATTTTAAAAAAGTACAAGAAAATGGCCAAAAAAGGCTAATTAAATGATTAAAACTACAATTTAATATTTTATTTTAACAAAATCTACACGCAAAAAATTTTAAAAGAATATATATGTAAAAACATATTACAATAAATATAAATCGCTGACAATGTTCTCTTCCTCGTCTTCAACAAAGCTCAAATAAATTGTAATAACCTCATCTGGTGGACCAGTAACCGCAAATTGTTCCGGATCGGCATTCCAAAAAGAGAATTCTACAGTTGGATTGATCAGATCAAATAATTCATCATCATATTGATGTATTCCAAGCCAAAAAGCAGTAAAGCCACCACAATCAACCATCACAATATACTTTTCCAGGGCTATTGATGTGAAAAATGCCAGGTTTAAGATGAATCTTTAAAACAGGCCCGTAACCAGGGGGGGGGGGGTGGGGGGGGGGAATTCCCCCCCCCCCCCCGAAATGGGAAAAAGGAAAAAATTTGGGGAAGGGCTGGGGCAAAAAAGTGAATTTTTTTGGCCTACGGCCTTCGAAATTTTCAAAATTTTCGCCTGCGGCGCTAAAAAAGGAAGAAATCTGGCTTCTTGAGGTCCAAAATTCAAAAAATTTTCGCCTGCGGCGCTGAAAATCAAAATTTTGGCGCCTGCGGCGCCGAAAAAGTGAATTTTTTTGGCCTACGGCCCTCTAAAATTCCCAAAATTTTCGCCTGCGGCGCTTAAAATAAAAATTTTTGGCGCCTTCGGCGCCAAAAATTTGGCGCAATAAAATTCCCCCCCCCCCCCCCCCGAAAAAAAATCCTAGTTACGGGCCTGCTTTAAAAAGTAAAATTAACTATAAAGATCAAATTATTAAAATTAACGCATACTAATAAAATTATACAATCCAGAATGCATTGAACTGGCTTGAAGTGTTCTCTAAAATATTTTTATTGACTATTTAAATAATTTTTAAACAAACCATTTGGTCAAAACTTAGTTCATCTCTAACAATATTAATATTTGGAGCAGATGAAGATCTGTCGCGGGTTTTATGAAGATTTCGTACAATAGCCAAGGACGATTCCTTTCGCCGAACACCCAAACCACGATTTACAATGTCATCAAGGCGGCCTAAAATTTTTTAAAAAAATATTTCTCTTAAAAAACATTAAAAAGACTTGTGAAGAAGTAGAAGCATGATAGGCAGGGATGGAACCAGAAGACCCTGGCAACAAACTGTCAAGAAGTTCAGTTGCAATTTGTGCATGTGGACCGCTGTATTTCTCACAAACAATTCTTAATTGGCTTTCCAAATCACAAGAAGGTAATACCAAGGCTGGTAGTTTCCCTGACCATTTTAAGCTTTTCTGCTTGACATATAATTTAGAATATATCATTCGAAAGAGATACTCGAGCTGTGATACTATGATCGATTAGATGGACATGCTTTTCGATGGACATGCTTTTTGTGATGTTGAAAGTTATTAAAACAAATTCGCATAACTATATTGATTTAAGTCGGATTTCGATAATTTTAGTACCGTTCGATTCAGCTCGAAGAGCTCTTTCGAATGGGTATAATTTGCCATAGAAAATAACAAAAAACAGAAAAAACGGGGGACCAGCCTTGGTATTACCCACAAGAAATATTTTCTGGCTCACACAAAGTTGGAACTTGACCCCAACAACGCTTATGAAAATTAAACTAAAAAGAAAAAAAGGAATAATTTCGGAATACTAAACAGACTCCGATTGGGACATATTATATGTCATTACATCAAAATATCGATTGGGACGTAACTATGGGCCGAGATACAAGGCTCGAAATGGTCAAAAACCATAGGGGGGACCAAACTCTTTTTTGGGGTGAAAAATTCGAATATGCAAATAATACTAATTTGAAAGAGCTCTTCAAGCTGAGTCGAATGACACCAAAATCGCCGTGATTGGTCAAGATTTTCGAAGTTATGACAGAAAACGAACAACGTAAACCTATGGGACGTCGGCGAGGCGCTTGTGCAAAACTCCGCGCTTCGCGCGGAGTTTTGCGGCACGCGCCTCGCGGGGAGTCTACAGGCTCTGGGCTCGTAACTTAGTCCTATTCCAATTATCGCTGTGATGGGCATGCCCGGCTTCCTCCGCAGCAGCAAGAACATCCACGGAAGCCATAGGTAAGGAGCAGGGGTGTGCCGTTTCGTCTTTCGCCTTTCGCCTTATTTTCGTCTTTTTTGGTGTTTCGTCTTTCGCCTTTCGTCTTTCGCTTTTTAAAATGACTTTCGCCTTTCGTCTTTCGCTTTTTCGGGCGAAAGGCGAAAATATTATACACCCCTAATGTATGTGAGGAAAAGTTGGTAATTGGGAGAAGAAAAGAAAGAGAAAAACTAAGGACGAGTGGAGATAAATATATAATTTTCTTTTTCTGAATAAAGTAATTGATGGTTGAGTGGTTAAGTTGTTAGACTTCGACTAGTGACCAGTTTATTATTGTTAGGTAAGGATCTAAATTTAGGGACAAGATTTTTATTTACATATTATGAATAGAATAATTATAATTTTTCTATGAAAAAATTATTTTTTTAATTTAAAAAGTGAATTTTCCGTGCCTTAGACACCTTTATTTTCAAAATTTAAAAAGTTAATACAGGTTATTTTCCAGCATAGTGGTATCTATTGCGGCGCAAAAAGTGAAGAAATCTGACTCAAGGACCTCCAAAATTCTCAAAATTTTCGCCTGCGGCGCTGATAAAGGGGATACTTCTCTACTTGGGTAAGCCTTAGTATTTTATTAAAAATTTTGGTTATGGATCCGGATATCGAAATTTTTGTTCAGACGACGGATTTGGATATCCTGGGATTTCCCAAAATCTTTTAACTATATTCACAATTATCGATGGTCGATTTCCAATGATAGGAAAAAATAAAAGTTTTAATTTGAAGTTTTTCATACACATCCTCTGATATCCTTTTTAATCACTTTAAATCCTCTGATATCCATAATTTAGCGGTTAATAAGGATATCACAAGTTTAGGAGAATTTGATAGAAGATTTGAAAGTAGGTAATTAACCAAAGCTTTGGTTTAACGCATATCGAGAGATTTTTTCTTATTACAGTTGTTTCGCCTTTTCGTCTTTCGCGATATTTTCGTCTTTTTTGGTGTTTCGTCTTTCGCCTTTCGCTTTTTAAAATGACTTTCGCCTTTTCGTCTTTCGTGTTTCGCTTTTTAAATCGACTTTCGCCTTTTCGCCTTTCGCTTTTTAAAATCTGTTTCGGCACACCCCTGGTAAGGAGCTAAAACAAACGAGCATAACTTTGTCAAAACAAGTCGGATTTCGCTGATTTTGGTGTCATTCGACTCAGTTTGAAGAGCTCTTTCAAATGAGCTATTATTTGCATATTCGAATTTTTCACCCCAAAAAAGTGCTTGGTCTATGGTTTTTCAATTTTTCGGGACCTATAACTCGTCACATAGTTACGTCCCAATCGATATTTTGATGTCATTCGACTCAGCTCGCCGAGCTGAGTCGAATGACATATAATTTGTCCCAATCGGAGTTTGTTTAGTATTCCGAAATTATACCGAAAAAAAAATACAAAAAAATATACAGATCAAAAAACCTGGCATTTTTCACATCAATAGCCCTGGAAAAGTATATTGTGATGGTTGATTGTGGTGGCTTTACTGCTTTTTGGCTTGGAATACATCAATATGATGATGAATTATTTGATCTGATCAATCCAACTGTAGAATTCTCTTTTTGGAATGCCGATCCGGAACAATTTGCGGTTACTGGCCCACCAGATGAGGTTATTACAATTTATTTGAGCTTTGTTGAAGACGAGGAAGAGAACATTGTTAGCAATTTATATTTAATGTAGTATGTTTTTACATATATATTCTTTTAAAATTTTTTGCGTGTAGATTTTGTTAAAATAAAATGAGAATTTCCTAAATAAACAAAGAAAATTGAACAAAGAAAATATTTGTTAACGAAAATTTTATTTAAAAAAATAAAGAAAAAGTATTTTCCCCAAGTTCTGGATCAAAATCCGATCCGGATCCGAACTCTAGTTTTAAGCCTTACGTTAAAATAGCGTGTTATTTTTAAGAGAGACGAATACGTGACCGCTCAAAATAATTCTCAAAATCTCGATCGGCTAAAAAAGCCAAAATATGGAATCTTAAAATATCGAATCCCAAAAGCTCGACAAGGGTGAAATGTCACAAAATATTGACACGACCAAAAAGTGGTTAGATAAATTGTCACTTTTTTTTAAATTCGAAAATGGTCATTTGAGTGCTAATAGTTGAGTGCGGGTACTGTACTATGTTCTGATCTTTGTTATGATTTCAGATTTGTTCTGATTTTTATTTATTCGTACTTTAATATGTTCGCGGAATAAGTTTTTGGCCGCTGCGAGGAAGCCGGGCACGTCGGGCGGAACGACGGCCGCAAGTGTACTGGCCACATTAGTCGGCTAATCTGGTGGTGTGATGTAAGATGCTGGTTTGTTCCCAGCCCCCGAATAACCTTTTGCACTAGCTAAAGGAGAGAAATAGCTATAACCCAGCTGCTTTACTGTATAAATCAAAATAAATTAAAGCATAAATTGTTTTATAATAAAATTTAATTAAATCCGGCAAATTAAAAAGGTAAAAAATGAGCAAATTTTGTATTTTTGTTTAAAAATATTTTAGAGAAATTTTCTATATAATTCTTTTATTTTAACAGCGTTCTTGTATTTCTCCTTCTTTCAATCCAAGACATATACCCCATTCTTTAATAGTTATTGAACCATCTTTATTTGTATCACTTAAAATAAAAAATATTATTTAGAAATAATATTGGGCGAGTGCCCATAAACTTGTTAGTTAGTCATGTATATTCTCAGATTTTTTCACAAATTATTTCAACCAACTTCTTTTTAAAATTTTAGAAATTGTAATTTTGTGTTTTTCAAGTTTTGGTCAAAAACATTTTAAAAACTCAAATTTTCGAAAATTCGATATAGTAATACTAAAGGATAAAAGTATAGCCACAATCAGGCATCGATCCTACTAATTCTTCCCAACCACTTAACCGACTGGACCATCAATGTCATGCTTAGTTCCTCTTTTAATAATCTTAAAAACTGCATAACAAATATTTTTGTTTGCCGTATCTTCACTTTCTTTATAATATTTTTCACTAAATTTTGCAAAACTTAATCTAAATCTATGAAATTTTAAGAGTAGAAAAATATTTTGAAATAAATTTTAAAAAAATATTTAGTAACCTAACATGCCTTAATATTAATAGCCCCTTTAAATTTTATTTTTTTATTACCATCCTTCCAAGAAAGGTTTAATACAACTTTCCATTGGAATAACAGGTGCAGTAATCGGAATTAATTCGTGATGTGAAACATGTTTGTCATGGGGCTATAATTATTTTATTTTTTGAAATTTATTTTTATTTTTCCAACCTTGATGTCCTGAAAATTATTTAAATTTTTAATATTTTCTTAAAATTAATTACCAAATCACAAAATTTCCAAATAACTGGATAAACATGACGTTTATCATCATTTTGTTCTGCCTCATTAATAAGTTCTTCCCATTCTAGACCTTGAAGTTCACGACGCTTTTTTAATTCTTTCATTACCTTTTTAAAGAGGTATTTAATAATATGAATTAAAATATCCCTATTTTATTTTTACGAATTTAAATTGTTTTAGTCCCCTTATTTAAAGATGGAGAACATTTACCCCATAATCTCTTTCATTAGGTTATCTCGTAGTTCCTTTCCCGTCTTTACTTTTTCTAAATCTTTATAGGATCATAGTTAGTGCTTCGTGCCACCCCATTGACCTCGTACATCGTACTTCGTATCTGCCTATTTTTTGCTCTACTCGTATTTCGTACCAAAGTACGAGTACGAATTCTTACGAGCTTATAAACACTACTCATAGTTTGTGTTTATTTTTTGTTCTTCCCTTCATTCCTTTTTAAGATACATATTTTCTTGTTATTCAACTAACAATGAAATTATCCCTTTTTAAAACTCTCGTCCTTTCTCATTTTTTAAGATTTATAAAAATTTAATTAAATTTAAATTTGCCTGAAATAGCCAATCAGCCATTCTTTCCTAAATTTTTTAAAATTATTTTTAAATTTAATTTTATTTATTTTTTAACCGGAAATTGCAACATTAAATCGTTAGTACAATCATCGAGTTGTTTACATTCACCCAAATATTCCAAATGAATTTTTTGATTTGTTGGGTTTTCACATCAAAAATTAGAAAAAAATATTTTTAAATATTTAAAATTAATTTTTACTCATTTTCGAATCCACTCCTTTTTTTGCAAACACATCGTTGACTGAAAATTTTTTAATTATAATTTAATAATTTTTAAATGAGAGATAATTCTTATTAAATTTTTTTAAAATAATCTTGCCCTCCCTCAAATAATTACCCCGCTTCCATTAATTACCCCATCCAGCGATAGATTGAAACAATACTTACCCCCGAACAAATGCCATAAAACACGTTCAAATTTTAAACTTCGTATAATTACCCTCCCTTGATTAATTACTCCCTCCAGCGAAATGTCGAAACAATAATTACCCAGGGTAGTTATTAAAGGATATAGGGTATGCCACTCCTCTTTATTTGATCCATTTTTGTTTGTTATTATTCTAAAACTCTTCGGATGTGTAAACAAATTACTAAATTTTTATTTAAGATAAAGATATAATTTTAAATTTGTCTTTATGTATTTACATAAAGGAAATCAAATTAAAAAAATTCAAAATTTCAATATTTATTGAAAAACAGAAAGACTTTTATGAAAAATATTTACCGATAAAGATGACAAAGAGAAGCAAATGTTTGATTATTACTAGCACAGACCTTTAATTAAATAATAAATACATAATTAAATAAATTTTTAGACTTTATCAAGAGGATCGTCTTCAAGGTCTGGACATTTTGAAATACCTTAAAATTTTTATTTTATAAATCTTGACCCGAAAATGGATTTCCTTTCTTGTAAATATTTTGGTCATTTTTCGGCCCATCCCGGCGGTTACACAAAAAAGGGGATTATTCACAACCCCTTTCACTTACATTCACAAACTGGACGTCCTTTTTTATCAACAACACATTCCTTTCCCCACCCACAAACATGCTGATCACACGGATCTGGGACTACAAAAATAAAACTATATTACAAAATATAATTTTAGACATATTACCAGGAGTAACAGCTCGTGATTGTTCTCTAATTTCTCTTCCTGCTTTACCTTGATTAAATTCATCCAATAATTCTTCTATTTCCTTTAATTTTAATTAAATTAATTAAAGTGAAAATAATTTCTTTAATTTTAACCAGACTAGCCAGTTTTAACTGAAAGTTTCCCAAACATCTCACAGATTATCTTAGGTTAGGGATTAATTTAAATAATCAACTCTCGTCAATATAAAAAACAAAAGTCCTATATTGATAGAAGGGTATAAATTTATAATTACATTTCTAGAAGCATTTAGAGATCCAGCCAAAATCAACAAAATAAAACTGCTATAAATAAATAACATTTTTTGTTTTAAACTGAAAATAATATTTAATTATCAGGATTTTGTTCAAAATAATTAAATAATTATTGGAATATTTAACTAAACAAAAATATTAATATTAAGAAAATTTCTAAAACTTTTTGTTTAAATTTAAAAAAATCAAGACCGTAATTATCGGTTATCCCTCGAACCTCTACAGGCAAACTTATTTAAAATAAATTTATAAATGTCTTATTTTAAAGAATGTTGAGTGTTCTGGACAAATATTGGGCGTTGTATTTGTCTGCAGAAACTTAAACATTTTTGTTTTAAAATTTCAGATTTTTAATTTTATTTTTAAGGATAAATAAAATCATAAAACTTTTTCTATTCCTTAAAACTTTGTGTTTAAACACTCTCAATATTTTTATTTATTTATTGATATGTATATCTCCCCATCTGCTTTTTAGTAGAAAGCAACAGAAGTTGTTTCAGAAGAAGATTGAAGAAGATTATTTTGCTTTTGCAAAGAGTAAATCAATTGTTTTTATTTTAGAGCAAACAAAAAAAGTAATTTTTGGAGAGTTAAATGTGGCACGTAAAAAATAAGGCCAAAAGTGAAAAATGAAATGATAAATCTTTTTTTAGAGAGAGAGATAAATTGACAGCTGTTGGGTGTTGTAAATATACTTTTCTCTCACAAAATAAATAAATAAAGGATATAATTTTGATAAAATTATATAGTGTATACTATTTTGGATAAATAAATGAATCATAAAATGTAGAAAGGAGATGTTTCTTTAATATTTTATAAAAAATATTTTTCTCGACTTTGTGAAAAGTTAATTACAAGACTAAGAAGTTAAATCAACTTTAGTTGAAATCGACTCTGTCATTAATAATAATTCATTATATTTAGATGTCCTTTCTATCCAATATAGGCCGGGATATAATTTTTGTTTTAGAGTATTGAATATTCTATGATTCTATTCAGGTATTTGAGACATAGTAAATGAAACTAGAGGTTGTATCAGGACGATTTTCGAAGATTGATATTGATTAAAATATTCCACCCGGTACGATTCTTTTACAATCGGGAGGGTCCTCATATTCGGGATATAATCGGGAGGTTCCTCCTATTATTCACTTCTCTATGAGTATTGAATAAAATTAATAATCGTCCTGTTGGAGTATCTAAGCCGGGATAATCGGGAGGGTCCTTCTAAACTAACATACTTTGAAGTAACTTCTATTAATAAGTTTATCTAAGCCGGGATAATCGGGAGGGTCCTTCTAAACTAACATACTTTGAAGTAATTTCTATTAATAAGTTTATCTAAGCCGGGATAATCGGGAGGGTCCTCCTAAACTAACATACTTTGAAGTAACTTCTAGTACTAAGTTTATCTAAGCCGGGATAATCGGGAGGGTCCTTCTAAACTAACATACTTTGAAGTAACTTCTAGTACTAAGTTTATCTAAGCCGGGATAATCGGGAGGGTCCTCCTAAACTAACATACTTTGAAGTAACTTCTAGTACTAAGTTTATCTAAGCCGGGATAATCGGGAGGGTCCTTCTAAACTAACATACTTTGAAGTAACTTCTAGTACTAAGTTTATCTAAGCCGGGATAATCGGGAGGGTCCTCCTAAACTAACATACTTTGAAGTAACTTCTAGTACTAAGTTTATCTAAGCCGGGATAATCGGGAGGGTCCTTCTAAACTAACATACTTTGAAGTAACTTCTAGTACTAAGTTTATCTAAGCCGGGATAATCGGGAGGGTCCTCCTAAACTAACATACTTTGAAGTAACTTCTAGTACTAAGTTTATCTAAGCCGGGATAATCGGGAGGGTCCTCCTAAACTAACATACTTTGAAGTAACTTCTAGTACTAAGTTTATCTAAGCCGGGATAATCGGGAGGGTCCTTCTAAACTAACATACTTTGAAGTAACTTCTAGTACTAAGTTTATCTAAGCCGGGATAATCGGGAGGGTCCTCCTAAACTAACATACTTTGAAGTAACTTCTAGTACTAAGTTTATCTAAGCCGGGATAATCGGGAGGGTCCTCCTAAACTAACATACTTTTAGTAACTTCTAGTACTAAGTTTATCTAAGCCGGGATAATCGGGAGGGTCCTCCTAAACTAACATACTTTGAAGTAACTTCTAGTACTAAGTTTATCTAAGCCGGGATAATCGGGAGGGTCCTTCTAAACTAACATACTTTGAAGTAACTTCTAGTACTAAGTTTATCTAAGCCGGGATAATCGGGAGGGTCCTCCTAAACTAACATACTTTGAAGTAACTTCTAGTACTAAGTTTATCTAAGCCGGGATAATCGGGAGGGTCCTCCTAAACTAACATACTTTGAAGTAACTTCTAGTATCTAAGCCGGATAGATATATTTTTAGATATATAGTTTATCTAAGACGGGATATCAATAACAGCAACAACAACGTTTACTTCCACCAACACCTAAACTTTTTGTTTTAGAACAAATTAAAAATTGCGAGGGTATTTAATTAAAACTCTGTGTTCCAACCTTCCAACCTTCCAACCCAGTTAACTAACCCCTCCTAATTACTCCAGTTAACCAATTTGCCTTATTCATCAAAATACAGTCGGACCTCACTATTTTACCTACCTATTATATACTCCTCAAGTTAAAATACAATTTTATAAAATTTTTGTCACTGGGTGAAAGCTACATGAGCATAAACATTCTCCTTATTTTCTAAAACAAATTTAATAAAAAATATTATTTTTTATTTTTAATTATTTCTCCAGGAATTCACAATGCCCACATTCTCTCTCAAACTCCAAAATATTAGATACCAAGAAAACGTTTAGATACCCAAATAGACTCTATAATAACCAAAATATCACAACTTTTCAAAGAACAAAATTCAAATAATTCAACTTTTTATATTCAATTTTATGGGTTACCTGGAAGCGGAAAAACAGCAACTTTGTGTAGATTAAGACAGTTATTAGAAAATAAATTTGGAAAAAAAGATGAGGATGGTGGAAATGAAAATTCTTCTTTACCAGGGTTCGGATCGAGAAAATGTTAAGTGTAAGTACAAAAAGTTCAATTTGGAAGTACACAGGGGGAAAAATTTTCAAAAAATAAGTACGCTACAAAAAAATTTTTCAAAAACTTTTTCGGTCCCGAAGGCACCGAAAAAGTCTTTTATTTTTTGCGCCGCAGGCGAAAATTTTGAGAATTTTGGAGCTCCTTAAGCCAGATTTCTTCCATTTTTTGCGCCGCAGGCGAAAATTTTGAGAATTTTGGAGCTCCTTAAGCCAGATTTCTTCCATTTTTTGCGCCGCAGGCGAAAATTTTGGAATTTTAAAGGTTAAATTTAATTTTTTAACCAAAAAGTCTATTTGTAAGTACGTACTTACAAATAAGTACATTTTTAATTTTGGAAGTACGAAGGTCGATTTGTAAGTACTGTACTTCCAAAATAAGTACGAATCCGAACCCTGTTCTTTACCCAATTTTGTTTTTATTACACGGTGGATTTTTTAGAAATTTTAAAATTTAAAAATCTTCTTTTATGTTCACCTCAATCCCTAATTTGTTCACTTCAGCTTACCCAAGTTCCTTTCCAGCCTACCCAGAATATAACCCTTGTATTCATGTTTCTCTCCAACATATCCATTTTCCTCTCACTCTATACAAATGATCTAAGTTAAAAAATTCCACAATATCCGGACAAATTTTCTCCTGGCCAGACTATGTGGCCAACGAATAAAAAGATTATTTCCCCGTCAACTTCTACATTAAATTTATTTTTTTTGGAATTTATATTATTAAAATTTTTATAAATTTTTTTAATTTTTTAAGTTTTATTCATTTAACTGATGGAGCTGTATTTGCAAATGAAATGCTTCGGAATATTTTTCTTTCTGTAATTTTTTATCTAAAAATTTTCAAAAAATTTCAAAATTTTCAAAGGTTTGTGACAAATTAAAAAGGCCAGATTTAGCAACAGCTTTTATCAAAGCTTTTCATATCAAAGCAATTTTGGCCACAGCTAAAACAGCCTTTGGCACACAGCAATCCCCAATTATTTTTATTCTCTTAGATGATGTTAATTTAATTAAATTTGGAAGAACTTTGGGAAGAATTAAACATATTTTAAAGAAATTATTGCCAAATATTTGCTTTATTTGTACTTCCTCTTTGAATATTTCTATACCTATTTTTGCTCCTCATACTATGGAATTATTAGAATTGGCATCGCCTACATTGGATGAAGTAATTAAACAACCTCTGTCCCCTTCCTTCTAATTATTACATAGAGTTGGAGCTTTAAAATGACCCGGACAAACCGAAAAACAAGATCTTATTATACTCGGTCGGACTACCGAGTTCGGCCCGGGTGTGAACTCTACTAATTATCTTCACTTCAGACCTCCTATGTATATTCCTTTAACTCTACCCCTCTTCTACCAGGCCTCTTAAAGTTCTCTTCGACTATACTAATTCCATTCCAAAAATTATTCCTCACAATTAAACCAAAAAAAACCATTTAAAGGCAATTTCAATACTTTGTGGAATTACTAGTGAAACAGAAAAAAGTTCCTCGTTTAAATTTACCTCTGATCAAATTGGAATTCTTCGGAAAATGTTACAAAAAAATTCAGATATAAATTTAGCATTAGGGTTTATTCAAAGAGATGAAATTATTGGTGGTTATGCTGATGATATTTCTGAAACAATTGAACAATCTATTGGTACAGAATTTTTTGTGAATTTATAAATTAAAAAAAATTTTTAAAGCAAAAGCAGAATTTCAGTGTGGGACAGAATAGTGTTGCAGTGCCACGTTTTTTTAAAACAGTCTCATCCACGTAAATATAAACAAATTTAATTTGATAAAATATTTTTTTTCATTTAGCAAATCTGTCAAAGTTACGGCACCTAATTATATTGTTGACGCTAATGCAACTGCAACACTTACACTCACGATCAACAACACCACAGAGGAGGACGTGTTCGAGATGGTTAATGTCAATGTAATTGTTAAGTGGTGGTTGCTTGACTCCGTTACAAATATTTCAAATATGATTGTTGAAGGCAATCCTGAAGAGGTGCTTAAATTCTACATTATGTTTACGGGAAAGGAAGCAGTCTGTGATGACGTTTATATGATAGTATAAAAATGTATAGAATTGTTTTTAGGTGATATTTAATATGTATATATTGTATGTCATGTATTTTTTTTTAAATTGTAATGAAACCTTTTAAATATATAAAACCTGTAAATATCAAGTACAGCTTTTGATATTCAACTAATTGTAGGTAATTCTATAAAAATTTTAGGAAACATTCAAAAATTACTTTTACATAATTTGGTATAGTTAAATTGAAAGTTTGACACCGAGCAGGCCTCGATCCTGCGACCTTTTTGCAGCCACCTTACCAACTGAACCACCAGTGGTCTGACAGCTTGGTCTTTTAATAAAACTTTTTTTTCGTTAGCTGGATCTTCTTTTTCCTTATAATTTGCTAGGTTCACAAATTCATAGTTTAATTCTTTAAGGCTATAAAAATTTAATAAATTTAAATTAAAAATCCAAGATTGTAAGGCAGATAGCTGTTAATGCCTAAGGCTGTACAGTCACTAACGAGAATTCTTTAAATAAATTTAAGAAACGGATATGTTTATTTCACAAAAAAAATTTAAAAAAATTAATTTAAATCACATAATTAAACAAAATTTAATTTAAATTCTTTTTTTTGATCTAAAGTACATATTTGCCCCCCTTGTATTGTAGATATACTCGAGCAAAAAATAATAAACATTTAAATAGAATGGTAGACTGGCTAGTTTTTATTTAATTATTTCTCTATTATTTTTCCAGACTACATTTAATATTGTTTGATTGTCTGACAAGTACATAGAAAAAAGTGAGGGAGAAACTCGGACCATTCCGTACAATTGTGTCCGCAAAAAAAACTCGGACCATTCCGTACACCCACAAGTACCAAAAATTTAAATAAAAATACTTTGCTATATTTCCATAATTTTTAAAGTGGAAAGCTTCACGTACTACAATATTACAACCAACTTATAATCATCAACATTTATTAGATTTTTAAATTTGTGAATAAAGATTGACATTAAACTAGCATTATAGACCTTTTAAATTAATTAGTTTGTTCAAACAAACATTTAAAAAATTACTTGTTTTGTCATTTTCGTTCAAAGGTTGGGTACTTTACGCTAGCTACCTAGAGTTTATAGTAAATTTATTTTTCAACGAAAATCTTTGAAAATTATATGAAAAAATAGAGTACACTCTGCTCCATCTGAAAATATTTAATTTTGAATTTTTAATTTTGAATCTCAATTTTTTAAAAAAATTTTAAAGAGCTGTCGGTGAGATTTTAGATTATTATTATTATTATTCTAATCGAGATTTAAATTAATAAAAAATTTTTTTTAAGTATTTCAAATGTCCAAAATTTGAAGACAATCCTCTTGATAAAGTTTAACATTTTATTTAATCATACATAATACATAGTATATTATTTAATAAAAGGTTTTGCCAGTAAAACATTTGCTTCTCTTTGTCATCTTTATCAAGAAATATCTTTATTAATGTTTTTTTATATTTATTAATATTGTGATTTTAAATTTATTAAATTTTTATAAACTTAAAGAATTAAAAAATTAATTTGTTAAATTAGCAAATTAATAAGGAAAAAGAAGATACAGCTAGCAAAAAATAATTAACAGTCGTTTAAGATTTATTAAAGAAAATCTGTCAGCGCACTGGTGGTTCAGTCGGTAAGGTGGCTGCAAAAAGGTTGCAGGTTCGATGCCTGTTCAATGTCAAATTTTAATTTAACTATGCCAAATTTGTATTGGTAAATTTTTTGACTGTTTCCCAAAATTTTTAGAGAATTATCTTCAATTAATTGAATATCTGTGCAAAAATTTGAAAATATTCAGCTTAACTAACTGATTCAGGGGCATTCTTTTTAAATAATAAATTAATATTTTTTATTTTAAGCGATACAAATAAAGATGGTTCAATAACTATTAAAGAATGGGGTATCTGTCTTGGATTAAAAGAAGGAGAACTACAAGATCGTTGTTAAAAATTAGAAATTATATAGAAAATTTCTCTAAAATATTTTCAAACAGAAATACAAAATTTGTCATTTTTTACTTTTTTTACTTTGTCGGATTTCATTAAATTTTATTATAAATCCCCATCCCTTCCATTTCCCCTTTACCTCCATTATTAAACCTTCCAACTTCAATATGTTGCCCACAACGACGACTCGTTCAACTGAACCTTTGTTTAGGATTAAAAAATTTGAATCGAGCTCGAATTATTCTTTTATAGTATTTACCACCGTTGATTTTGAGCACTTTAAAAACCGGCTATAATCTCTTCAAAATACCTTTTGTCCACATCATTCAAATTATTTTTTTAGGCTTTTGTTATTCGTTTTAATTGTTTTTATTGTCTCTTCATAAACAATGTAAGTTTATACAAATTATCTTAAAATCCTCATAACATTTCTTTCCAATTTTTAGGGAGCTTGTCAACGAACAAATTGTTCAAATCAATTTGAACGATATTGGAATCAGGGTGGTGGATGTTCTTCTTCGAAATAATTCGACTGTGCCGCGCTTTTTTAAAACAGTCTCTTCCACGTAAAATAAATAAATTTAATTTGATAAAATTATTTTTTTTTGTTTTAGCAAATCTGTCAAAGTTACGGCACCTAATTATATTGTTGACGCGGGCGCTACTGCAACACTTACACTCACGATCAACAACACCACAGAGGAGGACGTGTTCGAGATGGTTAATGTCAATGTAATTGTTAAGTGGTGGTTGCTTGACTCCGTTACAAATATTTCAAATATGATTGTTGAAGGCAATCCTGTAGAGACGCTTAAATTTTACATTATGTTTACGGGAAAGGAAGCAGTCAGTGATGACGTTTATATGATAATATAAAAATGTATAGAATTGTTTTTAGGTGATATTTAATATATGTGTTGTCGTTTCTAAAAATTGTAGTGAAACCTTTTAAAAAATAAAACCTGTAAATATCAAGTAGCTAATTTTCTAAAAATTTTGGGAAACAGTCAAAAAATTTACTCGTACGAACTTGGTATACCTTAAAATAAAAGTTTTACATTGAGCAGGCCTCGAACCTGCAACCCCTTTTGCAGCCACCTTACCAACTGAACCACCAGTGCGCTGACAGCTTGCTCTTTTAATAAAACTTTTTTTTCGTTAGCTGGATCTTCTTTTTCCTTATAATTTGCTAGGTTCACAAATTCATAGTTTAATTTTTTAAGTTTATAAAAATTTAATAAATTTAAATTAAAAAATTCCCAATATTGTAAGTCAGCTAGGTATTTAACTCCCAAGGCTGTGCTTAATTACTAAGATTAACGAGAATCTTTAAATAAATAAAAGATATGTTTATTTCACATTAAAAAATAAATTAATTTAAAAATCACATAATTAAACAAAATTTCGATTTTTTAATATTATTTAAATTCCTTTTTTGATCTAAAGTAGATATTGGCCCCCCTTGTATTGTAGATTCTGGATTAGAAGAACTAATTTGTTTTTTAATTAAAGAATGTTGTTGTTGGTGTCTTCTTGGAGTTGAAGAATTTATATTCCTTTTTTGAGAATTATTTTCTTTTTCTTTAATATTTATTTCGCTTGGAGGGGCAGCATAAATTGTTTCTTTTGAAGAAGAATTTTTATTTTCTTTTTTATTTATTAATTGTTGTTGTTGATCACTTGTTGAAGGTTTTATTTGTTGTTCTTCTTTATCTCTATTTGAGGAATTTATTGGAGTAATTGAACCTTTAAAAAATATTTTAAAAAATAAAAATTTTTCTTTTCCTAATTTGTCTCTCTTAAATAATACACATAAGCACCCACTATTTCGCTTTTTGTCTAACAATTCTGGAAAAATGAAAAAAGAAACTGTGTTTTCCGGATTTTTGTCAGAAACAGAAAACGGAAGAAAAATAAAATTAATTTTCAGAAATTAAAAATTACTTTTTCTTTCTTCATTATTTCCTTCTTCTTCTAAATTTAAAGGTTGAGGAGTTGTGGAAGATTGAAATGAAGGAACTAAACTTTTTCTATGTCCATTTTCTTCTTCTCCTTCAATACCTCCACTTAAAATTACACGTTCATAACGACTGGCTGAAGTTGAAGATAAACTGGCTGGGGTATTGTGGAGACAAATTATTGGAAGTCTTTAGAAAATAAAAAAATTAGAGGGTTTTTTGTTATCCAAAAAATATTTTTTCTGAAAAAAATTACTGGGCCGTTTTTGCCAATTTTGCAAGTATTCTATCCCCATCAGCCCCAACAATTAATTGTTCAATCTAAAAAATATTTTTGAAAATTCAAAAAATTTATCCATATTTACTTCTCGGTGTGTATTGAATGAACTCAATAATCTTCCAGTTGGAGTATTCCAAGCTTCTATCCAACCATCTTGTCCACATAAAAAATGGAAAAAAATAGAAATATGGACCTTCTATATAGACACTCAAAAATTAAAAAAACTCTATTTAATGAATAATGAACACTCTATTTAATTTACAAGAAGAAACTAGAGTTTAGGTAACATCTCTATATAAACAACTCCACCTTCTATTTTATAGACTAACTGCAAACATTCTATTTAGTCTACAATTAAACCTCTATTTTGTAGACACCCAAAGTAACATGGACTTTTTAAAATAGATTTTTAGTTTATAAGAGACTGTCCATAAAATAGAGGTTTTGCTGTATAGAACAAAATAAATTATTTTTAAAATTTACTCGAACAAAAAACATTCCCATCAAGACTAATTTCCATAAATTGGGGAATTGCTGATCTCTTAAAAATTAAAAAATTTTTTCGGAATTTTTTTAAAATATTAACTTGTAAAATATGAAGAGAAGAGCCTGTTTGTATATCCCAAACAATTAATTTACTTTAAAAATATTTTTATTTTGTTTTAAAATAAATAACAAACAAATCTTTAGCACCACTAACTGCTAATTGACCATTTTCACTAACACAACAACAAGTTGGGACTTCTTCATGGCCAACCAAAATCTTTTAATTTTTAAATTTAATGAATTTTTGATATATTTAAATTAAAAAATTTTTGTCTTTGTTAAAACCCAAATTTTAATTTAATTTTTAATTAGTTCCTGAATTTTCTTAGGAAAAAAAGAGAAAAAAAGAGGAAAAAGGACACAAATTCGAATTAGAGGTTAGCAATTCCTGGGAAATCTTCAGATATCCGGAACCGCCCTATCCTTACCAATTTCTTCTTTCTTTCCCCAATTTTTTACAAATATTTTGTCAATTTTAATATCCTATTCCTCACAGGGATAACCAAATATTCTGATTAAATTTTTATATTTAATTCCTCTAGTTAGAAACAATTAATTTTTAAATATTCCCTAAATAACCCCCTAAAAGTTCGAAACTTTGTTTTTCTATTTAATTTCCCCTTTCTACAAAAATCAAAAAACAATTTACCTGTATAAGTAACCCCCCAGTATCCATTTGCCAAATCTTTAAAGAACAATCCATAGAGCCTGTAATTAACATGGTACCAGAACGATTTAATGCGTAACACAAAATTGGCTTTAAAAAAGAGAAAGAAAGTTAATTGAGAATTATCTTTTTCAAAAATTACTTCACTATGATGAACTTTAGAACGAGTAAATAATCTATCACCAGAAGATGTCCATATATTCATTCTTTAAATTAAAATTAATTTTTAAATTTTAATGTATCATGGGATCGGCTGACCCAATTCACGATTCCCGAAAATCGTGAATTTGGTTTTCTGTCGGCGCGATCCCTGATATGTTTGTAGTGGAACTATTTTGTAAACCCTTCTATATAGTGAACATTTTCTAAATTTTGGATACTCTAATTATTCGACGCTTTCCATAGGTGACTTCGGCTAAAGACTGCTAATACCTATAGTAAAATACCTAATCTAATAGACATTCTTATTTAATAAACACCTTTATCTAACACACAAAACACCTCTATATAATAAACCCCCAATTTAGCAGACTACTCATTATTTTGTATAGACCTAGAAAGCTTTCTTAAACCTCTATTTACTCAACTATTTTGAAGGATTTCACAAAACAGAGGGATTCATTTAACAAAAATTTTAATAATTTAAATTTACTCTTTTGGGTTGGAAGCGTGTTTAGCAATAATTACTGTATCTAAAAATTGGAAAAATATTTTTCGAAAAAATTTTAATTATTTACCAGAAAGGCGAACATATAGAGGTGGGGAAATATTTGCAATTGAGGCAATAAACTAGAAAGAAAGGCTACAAAATTAATTCCTTTGTTATAGTACCTCTATTTTCCGGCTATTTTCATCAAGGGAAGGTAAAGTCCAAATATGGGCATTATCTTTAAGTTAAATTTGAAAATTTAATTTCATGAAATAAAACCAGAAGAATCACAAGAAACAACTCTTAAAGGTTGGTATTGTTGTTGTTGATGTGTTGGTATTACTTGACTATAAATAAATTTTTAAAAATATTTTTCCCTAAGAATCACCCCATTTCTGCATTCCTTCCCCCATCAACAAAAACATTTAAGGACAAAATCGAGTCTGTATGAAGCTGTAATTGTTTAAGCAATTGCCCTGTCCCTGTTGCCCAAAAATGAATATTTCCTTGAAAATAAAATTTTTTTATTTTATTCCCCCTCCCCCCCCCCCTCCCCCCCCCTCCCCCTTCCTCCTCTACCTTGCTCAGTTCCGCTTAACAACAAAAAAGAATCTGTAGTAAACCCCAAAGCAGTCACTTTCCCAGTCCTTTGTTGACTACTTGTCCACCTTTATTTTTAAAAACTTAAAAAATTTTTTTTGTCAATTCCCTTACATGCATTGACAAACATCTAAATCCCAAAAAGCAACAACCCCATCTACAGTTCCACAACCGGCTCCCTAAATAAAATAAATGTGTTTTCTCATTTTTCTGTATTTTCTTTAAATTTTTGTATTTTCTTGTTTCTGTATTTGTATTCTGATTTTATATTCTGATTTTTAATATTTTTTAAAATTCTGATTTTTTGTAATAAAGAGTATTCTGTTTGTTTATTCTGATTTTTGCTTTCACGGGAAAATTAAAAATCAGAATAAACAAACAGAAAATTCTTTATTACAAAAAATCAGAATTTCCTGTATTTTCCAAAATTCTGATTTTTGTATTTTCTTTGTATTTTCCCTTCTTTCTCTTCCAAACCTTCTCATCTGGTGCTATTTGAATACAAGAAACACTACTATTAGGTAATTGTTCATCATTTATTCCTTCTTCTTTATTACCCATTAAATTATTATTAATTAAAGATGTTTGACTTTCTGCAGATTCATTAGTTTCTGATCTACTTCGATAATTTAAATTTAATTCTTTTAATAATTTTTGTTGTTCCTTTTGGTGTGCGGAAGCAACGTCTCTGTCTATTGAATTTGTTGCCCAAATACTTACTCTATCACCTTTAAATTTTATTTTTTTTTAATTTTTAAATTCTGATTTTCCTAGAATTCTGATTTTTTGTAATAAAAAATTTTCTGTTTATTTCTGGATATTCTGATTTTTATTCCTCTGTATTTTTTAAAATTCTGATTTTTGTATTTTCTTTGTATTCTTACCAGCTACAGCCAAAACAAAGCTATCATCGTCACTTATTTTAATTGAGGAAATCTATTTAAATTTTATTTTTTATTTAAAAAATATTCTTTAATAACCGGTTGTCTTTCTTGCGGAAATAATAAAATTTCCAAAAGTTGTCCATTATGAATATCTTTTTTAAAAAAATTAATTTTTTCTTAAATTTAAATACTAAAATAACCATAAACAAGAATTTTCCCTTTCGTCCCAGCAAATAATCTTTTTTTTTTAATTAAAAATTATTTTTTCTAATTTCCTAATTTAATTTACTTGCAATCATCAGCAGATGACTGCAAAGCATTAATTCTCGATTCATGCCCAACTAGTTCATGCAATTCTTGTGCCGATACAAGAGAAAATACTCTCAAAGTTTCATCTTCACAAGCAACAGCCAAAAAGGCATCATTTCTATTAAAAATTAAAAAAAAAATTTTTTTCAATTTTTGAATACCTAGTTAATGTCAAACAAGTAACTGGGGCCATTAGACTACAAAATATTAAAACAAATTAATTTTTTAAATTTAAAAAAACCCTTGTAGACGAGTCTAAAAATTAAAAAGAAATTATTTAAAAATTTTCAAAAAAAATATTTTATTTACAATAATAATTTCCTTTTCAATATCCCAAACCATAACAGCAAAATCACCAGAACCAGTAACCAACAAAGAATCGTCTGACGAAATTTGTAAACCAACTACTGGGCCTTTTATTTTTTTTATTTAATTTTAAGAAATACTCCTTTACCTGTATGGTCACGAAAAACTTTTGTTACTTTCCCACTATCTAAAGTTACAATTCTTGCACAAGAATCGGCAGAACCGGCAACCTTTAAAATTTAATTTTTTCGTATTTTTTAAATCTTTTTTTATTTTTGTTGTGATTTTTGGTTTTTGTACTATTTTTTTATTGTTTTATTTTAACAAGAGAGAAGTAGAAGTAGAGCTCCGGGGACAGGCATTGATACTGCAATATCCTGGCAGTTATCAATGTTAGCCAACTGGAATGTCCCTTCCTCCTCACTTTTTCTGGTATTTTTAACTTTTTTTGTATTCATAAGTAGTTAAATAATTCATCTAGTAGCATTTAAGTGCACATTACTCTAGCCTATTCTTGCCTTTTTTCGAATTTTAGTGCCTATATAGGCGCATATTCTTAACTTTTTAGTACCTAAAAATCCTAGCCCTAGTAATTAGTTATTCTTTACTCCAAAATTTAAAAATAAAAACTTACAATCCATTTATCGTCACTACTCAAAGCTGTTGTAAAAATCCGTGTAGAACTAACTTCCAAGGATTTTAAAGGATCTGCTTGTGTAAAACTCCAAATTTGAATTGTTCCCTCAGATGTTGCGCTTGTAAAGAAATGTTGTTGTTGTTGGATTGAAATGTTTGTGTTTTTTTCTTTACATCTAGAGGCACACAAGGAAGTGACCTTTAAAAATAAATTAAAATTAATCCTGAAAAGAATAAAAACACCTGTGAGTGTTTTGGTGTAGTAAATGTTCGAATTAACAATTGTGAGGCTATATGAAACATATAAATACATCCTGGAGCTAATTCATTTCCAGCAACTTAAAAATAAAATTAAATGGGTTGCTTGTAAATGTTGGACAAATTATAGAGAGCGAGACCTTGACCTTGATTTCAGTTGGGTACCTTGACCAGATTCTTGACCTTGAATCAAGGAAAAATCAAGGGACGTTGAAAAATGCCCTGGTCTGGACTCTGGATCCTTGAAAAATCAAGGTCTGGATCCAGCTCGCTCTCTAATAAATTATAGTTCATTCAAATGTCTGTTTAAAAACCTAATAAATGTTGATGATTATAAGTTGGTTGTAATATTGTAGTACGTGAAGCTTTCCACTTTAAAAATTATTAAAATAAAAGTATTTTTATTTAAATTTTTACTTGTGGCATTGTAAAAGACAGAACTTGTTGTATTTTAGGAGGAGGTATCCAACAAGTTAATGGGACTAATAAAGGAGAAGAATCGAAAGAATCTGGAAAAATAATAGAGAAATTGAATAAATTCAACAAAAACTAGCCAGTCCATTGCATTGCTTGTTCTACCATTCTATTTAAATGTTCACTATTTTTAGCTCGTGTATATCGAAGTCTATTCAAGACTTTAAGAAAAATTAATTATTTATTTAAAATTTTTAATTACATTCAGAAACAAATTGTAAGGGTTCTCGAACAAGTGTTTCAATTGCAGGAAGTAATATTCCTTCAAGAATGTCTTAAAATAATAATTGTTTAGATGATAATTGATAAAGAAATAATTAAAGAATTGAGTGGAGGGAACTTAATTAGACTGAAACATTGGTAAAGTGGAAGGGAACATGGTAGGCTAGAAGGTAACATAGAACATAGTTATGATTGAATTAATAATTAAATAATTATACTTACAAAGTAAATCATTATCCAATATTTGAAGTAAACACCTTAGAATGTGATAATTAAAAAATAAACAATAAAATATATAAATTCACAACTCACTCTTCAAAAATAGAAAGAAATCTAGCCAGCCCCAAAGCTCTAAACGTTGCTTCCAAATAAGGAAATGAACAGAGAGTTTCTCGTTTTAATGCTTCAACTCCGCCTTATATTTAATTATTTAATGAAAGATTAAATTTGAGAAAAATTACAGACCTGCCCTTAGTAAGTAATACCAATGAAATCTGAAAAGAAAAAAGCTAAATAACAGAATCTATCAAATCTCGCCAATATAGAAAAGATGTGGGTCTAAGGAAAATTCTCTTTATAACAGACGGACCCTGATTTTATGTACACAATCAAATTAATTGACCTCTGGATAGAGGAGCTGCTTACAGATACCTCAAATAATGGATACTCTCGAGTTAATTTAAAATTTCTGCGGTCCCAAGGGTTATATGTAAAATTGAGATCCGATTGTGTAAAAGAGAACACTTTTTTCATTAAATTTTAAAATTCTCACACCTCGCTCTCCTTATATCAATACCCATTCCTCCGTCTTTAGATAACGGTCTAGGGAAGACCATAGCCATTGCAGAAGCTTCTTGTTCATTACCATTTTCTAAATTTTCATTCGGATTTAGAAAAATATTTGCAAGTGTTTCATTAGCTAATTTAATATCTCCAGCGGTTTGTAAATATCTTTGCTGGACTGTTTGAGCAAATTGTGTTGAGCGGAAAAAATAACTAGAAAAATAATATTTAACTTTGAATAAAAATATGATAGACAAACACTCTTCTTCTATCCATTATAATAAAATCTAGAAGAGATCCCAGTTGTCTAAGTACAAGTAAAGGAGTGGCACTTAATACATCTTGAGGCTATAAAATAGATTTAAATTTATAAAATATAAAAATTAGATAGAATATAGATAGAGGCTGAATGGAACATTAATATGATGAAGAGAACAAAGGTAGGATGAAAGGGACATGGAATCCCAAACACATGGATGAAGGGAACATACATGAGGTCATGCTGGGCACCAATTTATACCCATGTTTACCTCAAACATAAAACCAGTAGCATAATTTCTCATTCTAAAAGCATCTAATAATTCCAAAGAAGTTAGCCCACAAGGAGCACAACAAAGGAATTCACAAAATATTCGAACATTATCTGTTCCACACTGAAATTCTGCTTTTGCTTTAAAAATTTTTTTTAATTTATAAATTCACAAAAAATTCTGTACCAATAGATTGTTCAATTGTTTCAGAAATATCATCAGCATAACCACCAATAATTTCATCTCTTTGAATAAACCCTAATGCTAAATTTATATCTGAATTTTTTTGTAACATTTTGCGAAGAATGCCAATTTGATCAGAGGTAAATTTAAACGAGGAACTTTTTTCTGTTTCACTAGTAATTCCACAAAGTATTGAAATTGCCTTTAAATGGTTTTTTTTGGTTTAATTGTGAGGAATGGAATTAATATAAGTAAGTCGAAGAGTATCTAGTTGAAAATTAGTAGATTGAAAGGAACATGTGTAAGCTGAGTGGTGAAAGGGACATTAAGGAGCCGATGAGGGTATTAGGGTGAAGGGAACATTAGAGGGTCTGAAGGGAACACAATTAGAATGAAGCTAGCACAAGTATGAAACAGTGGTTTATCACCTCATCCAATGTAGGTGATACCAATTCTAATAATTCCATAGTATGAGGAGCAAAAACAGGCATAGAAATATTTAAAGAGGAAGTACAAATAAAGCATATATTTGGCAATAATTTCTTTAAAATATGTTTAATTCTTCCCAAAGTTCTTCCAAATTTAATTAAATTAACATCATCTAAGAGAATAAAAATAATTGGGGATTGCTGTGTTCCAAAGGCTGTTTTAGCTGTTGCCAAAATTGCTTTGATATGAAAAGCTTTGATAAAAGCTGTTGCTAAATCTGGCCTTTTTAATTTGTCACAAACCTTTGAAAATTTTTGAAAATTTTTTTAAAATTGTTAAATAAAAAATTACAGAAAGAAAAATATTCCGAAGCATTTCATTTGCAAATACAGCTCCATCAGTTAAATGAATAAAACTGGAAAAAATTTTTTAAATTTATATATTAAAGACTCTCTTCAAATAAATTGAAATTAATAATGAAAGTTAGTTAATTCTGTTCAGGAAAATAATTTTTTATTAGAAGGCACATGGTCTGGCCAAGAGAAAATTTGTCCGGATATTGTGGATTTTTTAACTTAAATGGCCATTTGTATAAAGTGAAAGGAGAATGGGTATGTTGGAGAGAAACATGAATATACAAGGGTTATGTTCTGGGTAGGCTGGAAGGAACATTGATAAGCTAAGGTGAACAGATTAGGGATTGAGGTGAACATTTTTTTTAATTTCTAAAAAATTCACCGTGTAATAAAAACAAAATTGGGCAAAGAAGAACTTTCATTTCCACCCTCCTCATCTTTTTTTCCAAATTTATTTTCTAATAACTGTCTTAATCTACACAAAGTTGCTGTTTTTCCACTTCCAGGCAATCCATAAAATTGAATATAAAAAGTTGAATTATTTGAATTTTGTTCTTTTAAAAGTTGCGAGATTTTGGTTATTACGGAGTCTATTTGGGTATCTAAACGTTTTCTTGGTATCCAATATTTTGGTGTTCGAGAGAGAAGGTGGGCATTGTGAATTGTTTCTTCTGCCTGAAAAGAAGGGAAAATTAAAAGTATGTATATTACCTTATTTATTCTAATTTAATGGCCTCTCCAATTGAATGGCCCTTTTAACTATAAACTACACAAATTATATTTTCTTGTTTCCTTTAGTAACTAGTAAATATTCTTATTTAGTATGGATAATAATAATATTTTTGAGAGAATTAGGAGTCAGAAAAGAAGGGAGTAAGAGGGATATCAAGAAAGTATAACGATTTAGTGAAGATATCAATAGATTAAGAGAACTAAGTTGAGAAGGATTCGTAGAATCAACCGTAGGATCAAGAGGAACTTGAAAGTCTTAATGAGGATATAGATGGATTTGTAGCGATATTGAGGTTTTGACGGATCCGGGGATTAAGGGGAAATTTTTCCTTATTTAGATAATCAACATATCGACACGATTAATTCCCCGTTCCAAAGATTGTTGTTTAAAATATTTAATTAAAAATACCCTAGCAATTTTTAATTGTTGCTCTAAAACAGAAAGTTTAGGTGTTGGTGGAAGTAAGCGTTGTTGTTGTTCATTAATTAAATATTCTGGATATATTTTTAAAATTATTGTTTTTATTTTTTCAATTAATTTAGAAGATAATTCTTTAAAGTAATTAATTCCTTCACGTGTTCGACTCCATGAATTTAAATTTAAACCTTTTAGGTCTAATAAAAAAGATAAATATTGTTGTTCTGTTGTTTTGTTGTTGGCAGAACTTATTTTGTTCTAAATAAAAACTAAATTAAAAGAATGAGGAGAACTAGGAGGCTTTGGAGATGGCTAATTATTGGATCTGATCTTTGGGTTTTCAATTCTCCTGAGTTAAAACAAGTTACAAAAGAGTGATGGAACAAGAACCTAACTGCTAAATTTGAGTAAAGGAAAAGTAAAAATGTGAGGGATTAGTGTTGGCGAATCCGGCTATCCGTATACAAGAAAAGTCCGGATATCCGGAAATTTTCGGTTCGGATGGATCTAAGGATTGACCAGGATATAAGGACAGCTAGAAAAAAGCTTTTACCTTATAAAAATTTAATCTTTTAGCTGCTTCTGATCCAGAAGGGTCCATTAACCTTTCCATACCACTTGAAGCTGCTGGTATATCTTTAAAATATTATCTAAATACTTTTTCGAATTTATTTTTTACTTTCAAAGCGTCTAGAGATAATCAAAGAATGAGCATTTGCCTTGGCGGCGTTTGCGCAAAGTTCTATGAAAGATTTTGTAAAATGTGTATTGCTTTTTTGATCCTCTTGTGTTATATTTAAATGGCCAAACTACGAAAATAATAAATAATTTTATTGTGAAAATTAATACGAGTATTTAACTCTCCGATAGAGGTATGGCTTTAAGAAGGTGATAAGGAACCTGCGAGATTATAGGGGAACTATCCTAGGGAAACTATTTGAGGCTTTTTGTCCAAAGAGGGGAAACTATCCATGTTTTCCCCCATAGCTCCACGTTTAATTAAATTTATCTGAAGTGAATATGGACCGAAGGAAAAATAGGTACGGTGAAAGTAACTTGAAAGTGAAAGGAAATCTAAAGAGTAAATACAACTAAAATGTATTTACAACTAACCGCTCCATCTTCAAAAGCCCTAGCAGCACATCTCTTAATTCCATTACATAATTTCCTAGCTCCAACAGGATCTACAAAATTTTAAATTCCCAATAGTTTAATTTTTAATAACCTCTATTAGCAATTAATTGATATACTTGAGGCTCCCTAGTTCTGTCTAAATGATAAAATTGTTCTAAAAGTAATCCAGCATCATCTGCTAATTCTAAAGCTGCCTCTTTTAATGCATTAAATTCAAATGAAGATATCTAAATTATTTTTAAAACAATTGGATCTCACTATAGGATAACACTTGGGGGTGTAAAACTGTATATTGCAATGTGGGAGGGATCCGTTGTGCAAGGGCAAACCCCATTAATGGTCTACACGATAAATATATGTTTGCACTCGTCTATAAGTCAAATCTCACATCAGACACCCGGATCATAACAGTACCGGTTAAATAGTTTTCTTCCTCCGCCCCTTGGCCAACTAGCTCTTAAAAAGTTATCATAAATTGGGGTGTATCTAATATGGTTTATTTTATAATGAATTCCAAAAGCAATGATTTTCCACTGAAATAATTTAACAAAAATTATTCCATTATTTACATAATTAAATTATATTTACCTCAATAGGAAGTAATTCCTCTCCATATCTATCACCAACAAAAACTAAAGCTGTACTATTCGGGCCAGATAAAGTATCAGCCAAAAGTAAATAATCATCCATACATTTCAATATATCCCCTTTTTCAAATAAAGTACAACATTCTAATTCTATGTCTAAATCACAAAAATATTGTTGTAAATCTGTCAAGACTCCCCGAAGAACTTCTCTTTCATGTGTAAATTCTTCTAATGAAGGGAATACTGCCAACTAAAATATTTAAATTTAAAAGATCCTCTAAGGGATTAATTATAAAATTATTTGGCCCCCTCAATTTCTTGTTTATAACCTAACAGTTTTTTATCTTATCACATTTTTTACATTTTTTTGTCAGCCCCGCCCCCCCCCCCCCCCAACTTGATAAAATTAATGTGGCCGAATGGAAGGGATTAAATCCTGAAAGCTCTCCGATATTAACCACTCAACTATCCCATCACCGACTGCTCGTTTTAATTTTACTTTATTTGCTAGGTGGAAAGAAAGTTCGCTGGCTTTACAAAATAAATTTATTCAAAAATTAAATTCTCGATATCGAGTCTTTCTATCATAATCGAAGCTTAAAAACTCAACGATATATTCTATTACTCGATTTATTTTGAGAAATTAAAGTGTTTAGACAATAAATATATAATTTCTATTTCTTTTATTTACTTACAAGAACATGAGAACTAAGAATTTGAGAATCATTTTGAGATGAAGTTGCTGGACTATCTATTTATTTTTTTAAAATAATTTAAAAACAATTTTCTTTTTAAATTACCAATAACAGCAGAACGTAAATGTGCGGGTCTTTTAATAACAAAAGCCCCACCATGTTGTTGGTGGTGGTCTTTTAAAAATTTTTCTTTTGATTTTTTAGAAGATTGGTGTTGGAGTTTATCACTTTTGAACATAATTATTATTAAATTATAGCTAAATTAATTAAAGGAACTATTAGGGAAGAGTTTCCTTTGGAAAAGACAAGGGTTATTGATAAAGACAGGAGTTTTACTATTTGGAAGATTGTAGTGTAAAGGATATGATTGTTTTCCGTCCACGAAAGTCGGGGAATTTGAGAGAATTTTTAAAATTCCCCGTCCCCGACCCTAGTAAAGGATACGTAAATAAAAACTACTTTTACTTATTAACGGAAATAAAAAAATAAACAAGAAAATTTTATCAAGGAAGAGTTAAATGGAAAAGCGAGAAAGGATGAGGGTTGAAGTGAAGGGACTTTACCGGATTAGAAAGTTTTGGCATTTTAAAAATTTTTCTTTTAACATTTTAAGGAAATTTCCGTTAAAGAGTACTTCCTTTTAAAGAAATATTTTTTTTATTTATTTTAAACAATCCACTTAAAAACAAAAACGAATTGATTAAATTGCGTGCAAAGCCCTCCACTCTCGACGACCCTTTTTTCTTTTGTGTTAAATAAAAATTCAATGAAAAGCAGAAGTTGAAACTTGAGGAGAAATTGAACACAAAAAAATAAGGAAAAGCCGGGCAAATACCCCCTTACCCCTTTAGCGCAGACAAAAAAATAAAAGGAAAAAAGGGGGGACAAAACAAACGGAGTAGAAAAAGCCAAATACACACACAGCAGTGGGAAATAAATAAACGATGATGATGATAAGAAGGGGGGAAGAAAAAAGGACAAAAAGGGGTGAAGAGGGAAAGAAAAGGGTTAAGGCTAATATAAAGCTAAAAAAGAGCAAAACTAAATAAGTAAAGGCTTTTACCCGTTGGCCATTCAAAAAAAGGAAATAAATAGTTGAGGTAAATAAGTAAGTAGATAGAAAAAATATTATTTTATAATAAAAGCCATCGAATAATATAATTTATGAGTATTTTTAATATTTTTTTAAAAAATATTTTTTAATAAATCAAGTTTAAGATGACCACAAAAAATGAAAAAAAAAGATTTATTAAATTATTTTTAGTAAAATAAATTGAGTTTACTTTAAATTATTATATTAGTTAAATATTATACAAGTTAAATTATTATACAACTTTTCTCGAGAAATATGGAGAGAGCTTAAAAATAGATTTTAAGTTAACAGCTTAACTAGCTACATTGCATTAAAATTCTTATTTAAATTTAAATCTTTAATTTAAATTAATTTAAACTTAAATTCAACTCTCTGGATAAATCTGAGATATTTTACTGTAAAGATTTCCTAAAAATACACTATACTTTATTTAACTGAATGCTCGGCCATTCTATTTTCAAATCAGGGTATTCTGTTGAAATATGGCAGGTATATAAGGAAATTAATGACGAAAATACAACAGATAATGCAAAGTGTGAGGGCTAATATCGAGAGTCAAATGTCCATAATCCTTACAGTATATCCATGAGTAAATTCTTAATAATTTTCTTAGTTTTTTAGTAATTCTCTATTAAAATAAGAGAATTATTACCTTTAACTCACTTCTTTTATTTTATCCAATATTAAGCATGTATTTTTTAGCTGCCACATTACCTTCCCCCCTTAAATTACCTTCCCCCCACACACTTCCTTCTTGTCATTTTCATTCATTTCGTTACCAAGTCCCTCTCTCTAACCTTATTTTCTGTATTAAATATATCGTTAAATACATTTCCCGAGAGACTACAAAATTTTTCTATAAAATAAATCGACCAATTTACAGGCAATTCCATATGAAGTTTGTAATAGAAGAAATTAAATATTTAAAGTTTTGAGAAGAATAAATAAAAAATTTTTTTAGATGTGTGATGTTTGGCCTATAAATTAGGCAACACGGTTATTTTCTGGTTCATAGTATTTTTATTTTAAAAAAGATTTAAATTCATATCCTTTGAGAGCTCTGAATTTCTCGACAAAAAATTTAAAAAATAATTTTAAGAATTTTAAAACCTAATTACTAAATCCTAAAATCCCCATTTTATTTTCTAATATGTATTTTCTAAAGTAATCTCCAATTTTTTATTCTTCTTAAAAAAATAATTTTGAGGCATTAATCATCTTACAAAACAAAAAATTCCAAAAACAAAATTATTAATAAACAAAAATACTGGAAAATGTAAAATAATTTCTCCTCTATTTTAAGTTGCCCTCTCTTTTAGTTAAAATTACAATTAAAAATTCTACATTTATTTTTTCCAAAATTTATTTTATATTATTTCAACCCATATGTAAATTACGGAACAGCCAAAGAGTTAATTCTAAACCAGAAAAACATGCAGCGTTAGCAGGAAATGCTCTTAAAAAAGAAAAAGAATTGTCTTCTATTAAAGAATTGTCCTTTCAATTTACCTTAACATAACAGGTGCAAAACCTCTAAATAAAGCACGAGGACCTTCTTCACGCATTATTTCACGAAATACACCTCTTATTCCGTCTAAAATAATTTTTAACTTTTAAAGGAATATTTTTTAATATTACCAGGATATTTGCCTTCCGGAGCTGTTTGCAAACGGGATTTCATTACCTTAAATTATTTTATTAATTATTAAAGTTCTGATTCTTCTAATTTGACAACAAAACGATTAAATTTAAATTAAAGGAAAAAAAACAAGAATAAAGTCAAAAATTATAATTGAAAATTTATTGTAATTTTTAGTTATCCACTCGCATTTTCTTTCCTTTCCTTCTCCTTTTCCAAAATATTAACGAATTAAATTTGTCAAAACAATACTAAAATTTTTAGACTTTAATCTCGCCAGGATATATTTTTAAACTAACAGTAAGCCTCTAAGAATACTGGAGAAAGCTCTAGAGCTTTAATTCTGAATGAGCACAATGCACTTCTGGCCATTTGTATTCTGATATTTTGGAGAATGGAGAAAAGGAGAAGGAAGGTGGAAGAAAATTCGGACAGAAAACCCGAAAATTTCTATACCCAAATACATAAGAATCTCTAAAATTTATTTAAAATCAAACTAACATCAGCCGGAATACACACAGACCAGTTAGCTATTCCTGCAAACCCTCCGGCCATTAAACTAAAAAATTAAATATTTTTTTATTTTTTAAATTAAAATTTACGTTGTTATTGGTGTTAATTTTCCTTGTTCACCAGAAAATTTGGCTTTCAAAAATTCATATACAGAAATATAAGCACCGCTTGCAGGAATATCTTTAAAAAAATTAATTTTTATTTAAATTTAAAAAACCTCTTAAAAGTGTTGCTCCCGTTCCTCGATAAATACTTTTAATTCCACCCTCTTTGTATAATTTTTTGACAACATCTACCGGTCCATCTGTTAAAAATAGAATTTTTTAAAATTATTTTTGGATTTAATTTTTTTTATGAAACGAGAAAATCTGTGAGGGTTTCCAACATTTCAGACTCCCCGTCCTCCCCATTCAAGATTTTAAATAAAATCTTTTAACCCTCTCTTATTTTTCTAAATTTTTATTTCATCAATAATTAATACATATAATTAAGAAAATAATTTTGTAACAATTAGTAGGGACTCAAATTTCCTATTTTTTCAAAATTTACAATAAATTCATAGCTAATAATTTAGTGGAAACCCGGACCGGATCTGGGGTTTTTTGACATTTGACATGACCCGGACCAGATTTAAAATTAATATTTCGTTACCATATTTTTGAGCAGCTCCACCCGAATGTTGAACTTGAAGAATACATTTAATTCTTTCACCTAAAATATTTTAGACTCTCAAACATCGTTTAAAAAACCTGGAACCATTACAGAAGTTGTGAAAATACCAGCAATAGCTCCTTAAAATAAAATTAATTTTACAAAAAATTATTTTTTAAAAAAAAACCTGCAGTAAAATTTTGAGTAAAAGAAAGTTTTTGGTTAGGATCTTTTTGTAATAACCATTTGCCGACAGCTGTTCCACCAAAGAAGACAGCAAATAAAGGAGAAACGCCAACTAAAGGTGCTGCCATTCCTTTATAAAGAGCCTTAAAAATTTTAATTTAAAAAGATTTTTAGAAAAAAAAAATTTACAAAAAATCCTTCTTTCGTAACAGTTTGTCGAGCACAGTCCATAGCACCCGTATACTAAAAAGAATTTTTTAAATAAAATTTATGGAATTTAAAAAAATTTTCAAACCAAAGGTTTTTGGCCATTTATAGGTCTCGGCATTGTTTGAAGTCTAACTTTGACTGTGTCGAAAGGATGACCTAAAAATTAAAAGTTAAGAAATTGAAAATAAATTAACCTACAACCACAGCACAACATCCCCCAACACCTCCAGAAATAAAATTTAAAACAAAATTTGTTTCAGACATTTTTAAATAACGATTATTTAAATACCCGTTATTTATCTGTAGAAAAATAAAAAAATTATGTAAATGATAAAAAATAAAAAAAAATTTTCTCCCCCAAAAAATCAATGGGAAATGACCTTTCTTTATTTTCCCATGGAAAAAATCCACCCGAAAATGCTTACAGAAAAAAATGTTCAGGTGGGCAAATGAACTTTGTTCTTTACACAAACAATTAATTGAAAGGAGAGTGAAATAAAAATTTTAGAAAAAGTATTTGAAAAAAATTAAATTAATAAATTAAAAAGAAAATATTTTTCAAAATAAAATTCTTTATCAAATTTAAATTTAAGAATAAATTATTTAATTTTTAGGGGAAAATTATTAAATAAAAATTTAGGAAGTCTTGAATTTTTATTAAAATTTAAATAGGGCAAATTCTTCCAAATTAATCCATTTTCTTTTAATAACAAAAAACATCCTTGAATTACTGCAAAACTGTCCAAAAATTCCCGCCTTTTATTTGTTGAAATTGCTGAAAAAATGATTTTCTTGAAAATTTGTATTTAAAAAACAAACTTGTGCTTCCAAATTGTAAAAAATGAAATAAAGTAGCCAATAAAAAAAGTTGGGATTTTGAAGATTTAATAAAAACAAACTAAAAATTATTTTTAAAAAATATTTTCTAATTTTTAATAGAAAACCAAACCTTTGGTAATAAATCGACTAATTCATTTGAACGGAGATAAAGTGTTTCAGAAAGTTCTGGTATTTGAGAATTTGAAGAAATGTCAATTTCAAGAGAACTATAATAAAAAATACTTTAAAAAATTAAAAGAAAATTTTTAAGAATTTCTTAAAAAACCTCCAAAAGTTGCTAGCTGCTTTCCATACAACTCCCAATTGACTTTGAACTTCAGCATCCACAAATACGTGTAAATTGGCAAGAAGAATAAATAGCTGCCCAATTTTTGCAATTGAAAGAAAAAATTCTTTGGAATTTCCATCAATAGCGAATTGGGTGGAGGGGACATTTTTTTGATTAAAATATTTTTGAATTGATGAAAGATCAAGTGGGATAGAATTGGAACAGGAATTCAAAATATCGGTAAAATTTTTTGAAGAAAGTTTTTTGGAAATAGCATTAATTTCGTTATGGAGAATTAAGCCAGTAAGAGTTGCTAGGCCAGAAAGCATCCAATTCTAAAAATGAGAATTTTAGAGAGGTACAACACGATGTACCGCGAGCCCAATTTACCACCGAGCTATAACTTTGTTCAAAATTGTCGAATCCGTGACGCCCAGGCATGGTTCGTTGCGGCTCGGCCAGCTGAATCGAACCATACCAGAGCGCCACGGATTCGACAATTTTGAACAAAGTTATAGCTCGGCGGTAAATTGGGCTCGCCGTACACTGGACTGCTCCCTTTTAGAGAAAGTAAAGAATTTTCATAGGAAATTAAGTGGAGGGGTTAATCCAGTTGTGGACATTTTTAAAACGAAAAACCAAAACGTAAGTTGCTAAAGTATTTTAAAAATAACCAACTTCTAAGGAAGCAAATCCTGTATAAGCAAATTTCAAGCTTCGATCAGAAACAGAATGCCAAGTTGATTCTGAAGGATTGTAAATACACAGACTAAAAATAACCAAAATTTTCTTTAAAAAATTAAAAATAAAACTTTGGCTTTGTAATGGTTAACATAAAATCGAAAAAACGGCCAACATTCATTTCAGGTAAAGTAGAAAGTGAAACAGCAGTAGAAGGTCCATAATTTGGAGAAGGCTAATAAGAAAATAAATTTTTTAAATAAAAAATTAAAAACCATTTGTTCATCTGCTAATTTTCTTGCCAAACAATCCCTTGTAACAGAATGCATTTGCTCTGCCCATATTTGTATTCCATTTCGAATACCAACATGTTCACAAACAAAAAGAAAAGCTTTTCTGAATTGGTGCAAACGAAGATGTCGGCGACGTTCCAAAACACCAAAAACTGAAGAGGAAGAATTGTCATTTAAAGGAGGTAAGTCTGCAGAGAGAATGATGACAAGACGTTTCTAAATTGAATTTTTTATAGGCGAAAAAACTCTAAAAAATTTTACTTTTAATTCATTGCAAAGTCCATCAGATAAAAGTGCTCGAGGGTTAATTTCAACATCCCCACCCAATTCTTTAATACAAGTCTGTGCAATACCCATAGCTAGACGAGATATTTTATATGTTAATTCAGCAAGTTTACGCCTTCTTGGAAGGTCAGCAAACTGTTCAATTCGATTTTTCTCTACCCAAACAGACTGCGTGTCGGGAGAAAAATATTGGTTAAGATTATTCATTTCTTCAAAAATAGCACGAGGAATTGCCTTAAAATTTAGAAAATTAAAAAAATAACAAGAAAAATTTACAAACCTGAACAACTAAACGTAATTTAACTTCCAAAACTTTATAATAAAAGAAAGAAAGTTTTTTGGCAAATAATTCAGGTATTTTGGTTGAAGGTCCATGAATGAATAAACCAGGCACAGAAGCTGTCAATTTGAGAAAAATGAAACGAACAGAGAGGGGATCTTCTCGTAAAAGTTTTTCAATAAGTGAACAATTTTCATCAACAAAAAGGAATAAATAAGTTGAAGAAGAGTCGGTTAATTGACATAAAGAATTCTAAAAAAATTTTTTTTAAAGCAAATTTCAATAGTCAAATAACAAGGGCGTAGCTAGAGGGGGGATTCTGGGGTTTTGGCGCACATCCCATTTTAGCCCCCCCCCGAAATCGACCCCCTGGCTACGCCCTTGTCAAATAATTAAAACCTCCTTCCCAACATCATTATTCTCATTTACATTAAGAGAATAAATATTTTGCAATCGACGAAGATCAGAATTAGCAACTTCCAAAGAATGGTGAAGAATTAAATTTTGTTGTTTTTCTGAAGAAAGTTGATTAGAAGTAACAGAAGATATCCTTGTACATATATTTTCGAGTAATTGAATTGATTTGTCGTTGTCAGAGGAATTTGTTTCTAGTTGATTAATACTACTACGAACAGATTCTAACCAAGTGACAATACGTCCTGAACAAGAAAATTTTAATAAAAATCTATTTTGATCATGATTCTCCAAATTTTTCGCACATTTCCCCCATTTCGTGGAGGAGAGGAAGGCTTCAGTCCCCTGGATACGCCCTCGCTATCCGATCCAAATTTTTTGAACTTTAAAAATAACCTGTCCTTTTAGCATTTTCTGAATCCAAAGACGAATTGGGCAAAAACGCAATAATTTGAGATAAATTATTGACTATTATTTGTTTTAGTTTTTCTATACTTTCACTCCAATTAGAACGTAAATAATTTTCTGCCTATAAAAAAATAAAATAAAAACCGAATAATAATTAAAAACCTGTTTTAATTTAAATTCAAAATGTGACAATTTTTTGAGTGCTTCCAATAAAACATCTTTTTTAATTAATGAAGACAGATTTAATTTTGGATTGACTAAAAAATTTTTTTGTAAATTATTAGAAAATATTTAATCAAAACCTTTTGGAGAACTATGCAAAATTAGCCATTTTAAACTTGTATTAAATTCTTCAATTATTTTCTTATAATTTCCAAATTTTTCCAAACTTAAAAGACCGGATGGAAAACGAGGTGTTTGAACAATATTTAAATGAGAAGAAGCCAATTTAGAAATAGGCCACAATTCTCGAACATTTTGGAGTGCAGCACTGGCCGCTTTATACCCTTCCCATTTTTCATGTAAATTTACTTTAAAAAATTTAAAAAAAATTTTTAATAAATTTGTTTCAAAAACCTTTAAAATCAACATGAAAATGCAAAATCCACCGATCATTAAAATAATTATCAATTAATTGGCGCATAATAGAAAATTGATTTTTTAATGTTTGATGGCCTTCTTCAAAATATAAACAAATATAGACACAATTTTCTAACCATCCAGTTTTTGGGCCTTTGTAAAAGCGCAAAAATAAAATCATTTGACTAATAAATTGAATGTTGATTCCGAGGGTTCTAAAAAAATTTTATTTTAAAAATTTTAATTTTAGAAAAATTTTAAAGAAAAATAAAAGTAAAGAAATAAAACCTACGCTAAGCAAAACTCAAACGGCTCCCGACGATTTCTACAGATATTTACAAGTATTTCAAGTTTGCTTGCTTCAAAATCCATTCTAAAGGAAAAAAAATAAAATAAAAATTCAGAAAATAAACCTAAGCCTGTACAAAGCTACAAAAATTCTTTCTCGAATAACAGCAGGAAATTTAAAGTCAAAAAGAAGCAACAAAAGACCCAAAATGTGTAAAAGTTGTGCACTAAGAAGTTCAAGTTCATCGAGACATTTGAAACGAGTAAAAAGTTCACGTCAGTAGTCAACATATTCTCTTGAAAAACTGTGAGGGAAAAAAGAAAAAAATTACAAAAAAATTTAAATTTTACAAACTCAATAAAATCAGTCAGAAAAGTGTAAAGTTGGTCAATAAAACGCGCAAACAAATTTAGAAAGGGTGTGAAACTGGCAAAGAATTTCTCTTCCAATTGTCGTCCTTCCTGGAAAAATTAAATTTTTTTGTTAGATTCCTTCAATCCAATTAACAAAAAAAATCAACAAACCTCCGTTTGTTCAGTAAATTTGTCAAAAGATGCTCGGTTCTCAAAATAGGAAAAGTCAATTAACAATTTTGAAAAACATGACGTTTGAAAATTTAGAAAATCGAAGGGTGTATTCAACGATAAACGATAAAGCTCTGCTATTAAACAGTTGCCAGTAATTATTTGATTATTTAAAGACTGAAGGAATTGCTGTTGTTGAACATTCTGCATTGTAAAACCTTTAAAAGTTAAACAATAAAATGAAATCGAAAAATCAAGAAGGCTCTGAAACCTCGTTACAAACAGGCCTATACATTTTGAGGTTTTATAAGGAGAGAGCATGTAAAATAAAGAGAATTAAGAGAAAAAAGTGAATGAGAGATTTACTGTAATTTCCAATTTTCTCTCATTTTATTGTTTGTTTGAATAAACTCAATTTTGTTTGCCTAAAGTTGATTTTTAAACACTTTGAGATCATCCAAGACCAAAAACGAATTTAACTTTATCTACCTATTTTGTGGTTCATCTTTCAAGAATTCCAATCACTAACTATAAAAGCTCAATAATTTCCTCATAAAATATTCCAACAATCAACAATCATCGCATTCTTCACATCATATCGTTGCGTAATTCAAACAACAACATGAAGTCGTCATCACCGCTCTCGGCCGTCATGCTGACCACCGTGTTCTTCCTGTGCTCTGCTGTGTTCTTCACCAATGTGTATGTTTATTCTTCGTTTAATTTTAAATCAAAAATTTATTTAAGTCGTCCCTAAGATCCGCCAAACGATGAGACAAAGGCAAATGGGACTGAACCGCCACTGTCAAATGGGACCGGAACGCCACCACTGTCAAATGGGACTGGACCGCCATCGAATGGATCTCAATCGACTACAAATGCGACCTTGGATGAACATCCGCAAGAAGACGGACGATCACCAATGTTTGTTGCTACACTCTTCATTTTTGCCACAATCAAGCTTTTTTCTTTTCAGAATCTTTTTCACTTTTTAAGGCTGGTGACAACTCCCGACGACAGGATCGTGTTCCCGGTCAAGGAGGATTCGCCGCCGGAGCCGCTCGTGGAGCTGAAGATCGAGAACAAAGGAGACACGATCCAGCTCTACAAAGTCAAGTGCACGAAGTAAGCGTCAACTTTTTTGCGTCGTTAGTGCATACCTAACTCGTCTTTTACTTTTCAGCAATGAGCTCATCAAGATCCGGCCCCCTGTCGGCATTCTGAAACCTGGAAGCTCGGCGACGGTTAGGCTTCTTCTCCTGACCAAGGAAGACCTGCCAGAGGACGACCGCCAATTTTTGTTGCTGCACTCTTCATTTTTGCCACAATCAAGCTTTTTTCCTTTTCAGACGTCGCGGTCTACAACCACGACACCGAAGACTCGAACACGAAGGCGCGAATGCAGTGGGACATGGTCAAGAAGGAGCAGGGCATCAAACGTCTCTACGTGCGCTTCGAACGCGAATAGGACGGAAGCGGAAGATGCGTGATGATCATGAAGTGCCACTGTGATTGCCATGTAGAAAAGATTCTCACCCTTGTGATATATTCCCACTGTATATTGTGTCCTATATGTTGTGCAATCACTCTCATCCTATTATGTTGTAAATGTATTTTTGTTGTGATAATCTATTGCCCAAACATTGTTGTATATATTGTTTGTTTCAAATAAATATTTGTTTGAGTTGAGCTTTCTTTTTTTGACTGAGAGATAGGAATAGGGAGATGAGTCTAAGTTAACGAATATCCTTTAAAAGAATGTTTTTGCCCATTTGAGTTGATAAATAGAGGAAGATTCGATAAATAGCTCTCTCCGTTTTTTGATCCTCTCCCTCCAACTAATTTGGTTACATTTATTTTTAAACAAAATTATAAATCAGCCTCACTCAAATTCAAGAAAATTGGAAGAAAATTGATGTGAGAATTTGCCCACAAGTCTTCGTTAACTCTTAAATTATTCATCAAGATTGCAAGTATTTGACCCATACTAGCTGCAAAACAGGGCCATTTGAAAAAGGAAAGACTAAACTTGGCTGTTTGTGGCCCTCGTCCATTCACAACTAATTTGACATGCGCGCACTAAAAACTTGTTTTTACTATTTCCGTCATTTGCTTGTTGTTTCAGCCATTTTATTCCTTGCATAATTTTTCTATTTTGTCTAAAGTCAACGGCCAAAAGTGCGCCTTTTGCTTTTTTGGCTTGTCTCAATTTCTGTTTTGTAGAATTTATTCGACTGGCACAGAATTTTCATACTTTTTTTCATTCAGATGACAATTTTAAAGTTTAAAATAAAAAAATTTTTTGAGTATAATTAGAGTTATCGAATAGTAAGGATATAAAAATTAAAGGAAAGTTTGTTAAAATTAGATACAAGAATTACTTTCTACTTCAAAAGCAAAATTTTTGATGTTTTTTTTATTTTAATGGCTTCATATTTTTCCCTTCCTCTTATATATTAATTCACACATCTTTCTTGGCACGTAATTTTATCCATACGATGCCAGGATTTTTTCCGCGCAGACACGTGTCAACTATATTAATTTTAAAGCCTAACATATTGAAAGGCATTTTTGATGTTAGAAAAATATTAGTGTTTATTATTGGCAAAAATGTAGCCTTCTTTTAATAAAATGAGGAATGTGGGATTCTTCTCAGGCTTCTTCGTATATAAAATTTTCTATACTCGAGTTCAAGCTCAAAAGTTTTTTAAAAAAATTTTGTTTACCCAGCAGCAGCTCTACTAGTTAATAAACTTTTCTATTTTTACAACTATTACCTAATACATTTTTAACTTGTTTTTCTTCAAGAAAGTTAGCTAAAAATGTCAAAAAAGTGCTTTTTAATTGTTATTGCCACAATTTAATAAAAAATTAAAAAATACTTTAAGCTACACAAACTTTTAACTTTTTTTTTCAATAAAAGCGCACTTTTTGATGCATTTACAATTTTAGCCAAAGGCTATTTTCCTCTTTTTTTACTCAATTCATTCACCTTTTCTCTACACTTTTTGCCTCAAAAGCAATTTGCTATCTTTTAAAGAAAAATAAAGGCTATTGCAAGACTTGCCAAGTCTCCCCCCCCCCAACATTGACTGTTCATATATTGAGAGAGTAAAGAGAGGGAGAGATTGGTTCTTTCATAATGGAAGAAAAGGAAGTTTAACAAAAGAGGGGGGAGGGAGGAGGACATATTGAGGGGATTTTTGTTGAAGTTGTCTCTCTTTTGTTGCTTTCCTTAAAAAGAGTTTCTCTCTCACTGAAATTTTTTTAAAAACTTGTTAAGAGCGAAAATCGAGTGAATTTGTGGCTATTTTTGTTTTAAATGAGTTCAACAGTTCCTTTGATAAACTTTGTTTTTCTTACTAACTTTAGCAGCTGAAATTATGTTTGGCAAAACAATTTGAACTTATATTTTTAAGTTCCTTGGTTTATTTTATTGTCTTTTTTTCTCCCAACATGTTTTTTCCATGTTTGTTTTAATTCTGAAAATGTCTTCCTATTCCAACATTGTTTGTTGTTCTAGTTTATTCAAAACTTGTTTATGTTTCTTTAAATGTTTTTGTTTTTATGTTTTAATTTAAGTTCTAGAATGTTTTTGGTTCCAAGTTTTTATTTCGTTTAATGCTTATTTGTGTTTTTCAACCAAGTTTATTCAACTTCAAATTCTCTACAAATAATAAAAAATAAATAAAAACACAATTGTTTTCATTTTAAAGTTTTATCCTATTTTGAAAGTTTTTTTATAAAATACTAAAATATACTAAATTTTATTTTGTTCTCAATTTATGCGTTGCCTGACGACGACATTCTCTAAAAAAATAAATTCAATTTTATCTTCTCCACGCAAGTCCTCCCCATCTTTTTTTTCTATAAAATAATATCCCCCAAATCCACCAAAACTACTCATCAATGTTTTTGTAAAAAGAAAAAGTATTTTTTTGGTTATTTTTAGGAGAAATTTTAAAAATAATTTTTATTTAAAGAATTAATTTTTCAGTTTTCTCCCCATTTTTCCCTTAATTCCCGCCGTCGGGCAATTGATGGGTGCCGAGTTGAGCACTGAACACCAACAACAATTATTCCAAAAACAATTCAAAAAACAAATATTTGACAAAACATTAATAACAACAAAACACGGTAAAGGAGAAATATAGGGAAATATTTTTTTAGTTAAAAATATTTAATATTTTATTAATTTTATTTTCTAATTAATAAATTCCTTAATAATTTATTAAATTAAAATATCCGTTTCTTTATTTAAAAATATTAATAAGGAATTTTGTGGCAATTTCTCTTGTTAATGTTTTTTTATTTAATTTTTATTTTTTTTTTCAATTTTCCTTGCTATGATTAAAAACTTTTTCAGGATTTATTATTTAGGTATATTTCCAATTTTTGAAATTTCCGATTATTCTTGAACTATTTCTGTTTAGATAAACACTTAAGAACTAAGAAATGCCTAACAAAATATTAAAAGTATATAATTAATTAAATAAATAATTAATTAGTTAATTAGTTATTCTCTCTTAATTATTTAATCGCTTTTCAATTAAAAAAAGGGAATTTAGATTTTCTCAATTATTATTTTTGTGTAAAGTGCATATATTCTGTATAAAATTTTTTGCATTTTTTCCTTATCTTATCCACTTCATCTAAAATTCTTTTACTAAAGCTCTCCACAATATTAAGTAAAAATAACACAAAAAACATCAATATATGTCTCCCTTCTTTTTTCTCTCATTTAGAATTCTAAAAAAATTATTTTTTTTTCTTATCGCTGCTGGATTTTTTTGTTTTTATAAATTTATTAGCATTTTTATCAAAAACTTTTTTTCCAATTTTTATTTTTAATTTTAATAATTATTTTTCAAAAATTCACATTAATTTTAAGACTTGTCTTTAAGTACAGTTTAACTTCTATAATCAGATCGGGAGCCCGGTCCGGTTCAAAAAATCGAGTCGGGCATCGAATTTTGGCCCGAAAAAGACTCGTCGAGCGGATGATAAAAATGAAGCCCGAAAAAAATGACTCGAACGTCGGCCCGACTCGAAAACCCCAATTCCTACTTTCAATATAATTTATATACACCTTCGAGCTTAATATGTTTTTTACAGTTTGGTTGACCATTGGATAGGAGTTATACCCTCTATGTATAGTATATGTGGACTTTTCAGCAATATTATGGGTATATAGATTAGAGATTCAACTTTATTATTTAAATTTTAATAATAAAGTTGAATGCCTTAATATAAAAAATCCAAACTTAATTTGGCGGCTTCTCCTGAACGAGAATCCGATAAATATATTAAGGAATTTACGAGATAAGGAAATTTATATCTTCTAAAATTAAATTTTTCTGATATTTTAAATAAGAATTTTATTTAGTAATTTTAAATAATTTATTTAAAAAAAGACAAACAAAAAAAAGATAAAGAAAACTTTATTATTTTCCCATCATTTGCAATTCTCTCCTTTTTTTATTCCAAAAATACCAATATTATATACAAATTTATTTTTATATTTTCTCATTATTTCTTCTTTGCTTAGTTTTTTGAAAAAAATTTTCTTTTATTTATCAAAAAATCTTTAAAAAATTATTTCTTTCTGTGTGGTGGATTTGCGCACTTTTTTTCTAATTATTTTTAGAATGTCTAATCCTTTAAGTAAAAAGATAAAAAAATTATTAAAAATTATTTTATTTTTTTGTTAACATTTTTCATTCCAAAAAAAAGTCTTTGCCTAGGCAACAATACTTTTTTTAGCTTTTTTTAAAAAGTATTTACTACTTTTATTTTCTCACTTTACTAATTAGCATGAAAAATAAATGAAAAATTTTTTTTTACGATTTTAATATTTATAAAATACTCAAAATTAAAAAGTTTTAAAAAATAGCGTGAGAAAATATTTTTTGTTAAATTTTATTAAAAATAAATTAAATTTTTTTAATTTATTTTTTAAATAATTTTGTTTACTTAATTAGGAATTAGATAAGTTTGTCTGGATCATAATAATTTGCTTTTAAATTTAAATTTTTTTAATTCAATTTATTACATATATTTTTAAAAATTATTATTTTCCTCTTCAAAATTTTATGAAACGCTAAATTTCCTAAAATTATTTTACTGACTCAGCGCCAATGCATGAAGAGTCTGTTGGAACGTATTTGGCCAAGTGGAAGACGTCGAAGACGGTAAAAAGAAAAATTAGAGCTCCCTTTTTTATATTCAAAATTAATTATGTAAATTAATATAAAAAAAGGAAAAGCACTTTAAACAAGAAAAAAATTAGCTTCCATTTTGGAATAGAAAATAAAGTGACATTTAGATTATTTGATAAATTATCTTAATAAATGGGAATAAATTATTAAAATTTCCCGTTTAATTCTCTTTTAGTTTAAGCAGAAAATGAGTAAATATTTAAAGATATACTACATATTCTGATTAAGAAAGGAACAAAATAAACTGAAAAAAGTAATTAGGCAAATCAAGTTTTAACTAGTACCCCGAGCCTTCGGGGGCGGGATCGTCGGAGATCGGCCCGGGGTAGAGCCTTCGTGGTTCGGGTCGGGGTTTTTGCCAGAAACATAGTCGGGGTTTCGGGGGACAGGATGCTACCCTAGTTTTAACAATTCTGAAAATGTTTAATGTTTATAAAAATTGTTTTGAAAAAGTTTTAAATATTCTGAAAAGTTAATTTGTTTCTGGAAATGTTTTTATATGTTTGAGAGAATGTTTTTTGTTCCTCTCTAAACTTCTGAATGTTTTCAATGTTTTTAGACTTTTAAATGTTTTTATTTTTATTCTTTCTTATCTCAAAAATAAATTTAAGGTTATTTTTGTTTTTATTTTAAAATAAATAGCTTTTCCTCTTTTTGTCAAAAATTGTCACAAAAACAATTCTTTAGGGACTCCATTTTGTTTTATTTTTACGTTTTAATGTTTGACAACCTTTTTGCTATGGACACCAAAAAACTGTCAAAAGAATGGGAGAAAAATTATATTTTTCCCCCATTGGCATTTATTCTCTTTTATTTTCCCTCATTTCCATATAAAACAAAAAAAGGTCACATTAATCCCCCTTTTTGTTTTTATATTTTTTTTCATTTTTTAAAAAGATTTTTGAAAGATTTTTTACTTTCTTTAAAAGGAAAATATCAGTTTTTGTTGTCCAAATCCTCTAATATTTTTTTAAAAAATATTCAACGGGTAGTCAGTCCATCCAGTTTTCTTCCTTTTAAATTTAAGCTAATATTTTTATTATATTTTTGTTATTTTCAGCCCTTTTCGTGGACTTAGACGCGCGGCTGCGTCGCCTGGTTCGCCTATTAGTTGTTGTTCACAGACTTGTAACGCCTCTGGCTCTGCACAAATTTCTGTTTGTAAATTCAATTTTTTAATAGGAAAAGGGTATAAACAAAGCTTTAGGCTTTCCAATCATCCAATTTTACATAAGAGGGGAAAAATTTTTTTGAGTCAGCAGATGCCCAGCCATTCATTCTTTCAATTTTTAGATTCCACCATTTCCACGTACGCACTGTACCGTGATGGTAATAGCAGGCACCCGTCCCCCAACTGTACCACCTTCCTCGGCGGGAAGTTGTATAAGTCCATCGTCTATTTGGACCCCTTCATCAACGGCTGGAGGAATATCAACGCCAAATAGACAACAACAAATAAATTTTCCTTTTGATGAGCAACAAAATAATGAAAATGAACAATTAATTTTACATTTCCCACATTTACCACCATCACCTAATGTTTTGGCTAGTAAAGATAATGAAGCTGAACAACCGATCTTAATCAGTTTAGAACAACAACAATCGTTGGTATGTGGAATTAAAAAATATTTAAAAGAAAAATTTTGTAAAATATTAAGTAGGAATTAAAAATTGAATTAATTAACCATTTTTAAATTATAAATAAATTAGTATTTTCTTGTTTTCTTGTCACCACTGGACACAAAAATGTGCTTATTTTTTGTTATTTTAAAATTATTTAAAATTACTATTTTCTAAAAAAATTTTTTGGTGAAATCTCTTGTTCAAATTTTTCATTTTTACTTTATTTTGTAGCAAATCTACCAATTCTTCCATGGTAACAGGAACAGAATTGTAGCCAGACACGCGCCGTACTAATATAAATTCAAAATTATATTTTTCCTCGTAATTTTGGCATTCTGTTTATTTTTAATTAAATTTGAGACAAAATGGGGTAGGGGACGATTCAGTATCGCCGATTCAGTATCGCCAATTCAGTATCGCCGATTCAGTATTGGCCGATTCAGTATTTGGCTTTTTTGGCCATAACTTTTTGCTCGATCAATATTGTGGGAATTATTATATATGATTTGATAGGCCTCGGGGTGCTGCATCTTTTTCATAATTGGACTGACCTGATCTGATCACTCTACAAAAAGTTATCACTGATAAACGACGTCACAGGCATAAAGAATCGGTTTTCACGCTGTAACTTTTTTTGTGATCAACAGATCAGATCGGGCCAATTATGAAAAAGATGTCGAATCTTGAGACCTTTCGAATGATATGAGAATTATTCAAATCGGTCGAATATCAGGAAAGTTATGGCCATATACTGAATCGGCGGATACTGAATCGGCGATACTGAATCGGCTATACTGAATCGGCGATACTGAATCGTCCTTAACCGGACAAAATGTCTGAGAAATAGAGTGAATGTTAAATTGAGGAGATTAATCTTTTTCCCCTTTAAAATGGGTTAGAAATGAGTAAATTGATTGTTTACTAGAATTGATTTTTGATTAAATATTTTTTTATTTAAGATTTCTCAATACGGATTTCAAACACACAGACCTCGACCTCCACTAAATAGAGCAATTCCCCCAATTCCTGAATCACGTTCCAACGAGTCAATTCAGTCAAGTCAATCAATGCTGACTCGGCGACCAAGTAATGGATTGCAGTTGCAAACGGTGCAAATAATCGATGAAAATAATCCAATCGATGAACCTGTGCCGAAACAAGCAGTGACTGGTGATGATGTAAGGAAATTTTTGAATTTTTAGTTAGTTTTGTTGTCCTTTTGAAAAATAAATTTAGAAATTCGAAAAATATTTTTATAGAGCGAGTTGAAGCTTGATCATAAATGTAAACTCAAAATGATTTTTTTGTAGGTTATGGGAGTATCAACAATAACAATAAAAGAAACAACTAATATTACAACTAAAACAAGTCGACTACCAAAATTTGTTCGAAGAAAGGAAAAGAAAGATTCTGTTGAACAACAAGAGAAAAAACAACAAAAACCTCCAAAAAGTCCTTTAATGTCTGTTGCACATTCTGTTAAGGTTTTTTTTTGTTTTTTAATTAAAAAAATATTTTTTATTAGAATAAACTCAGTCGATTGACTAGAGGAGGAAATTCAATGTCTAGCAGCGCTGGAGCAGAATTTCCAATGAGTCGAAGTTTGGAAATTGGATCGAAATCTCGAATTCCCCACCGCCAAACTAGTGATGAAATACCAAAATCGAAAAGTATGGAAGAACAGAGAGGAATGAATGAGAATGCTGGAGGGTTTTTTCTTGTTCCGAGACGATCTCCGACAACTACTTTGGTGTTGTGTTCGCCTGGAGGAGGGCCTAGAAGATTGCCGCCAGATGAATTTTTGGAACAACAAAAAGGTTTTTGACTGTTTTTTGTTGTGATTTTAAGGCAATCCCGGAGAATTGGGGTCCATGCGAAAAATTATTTTAAATACCTCAATTCTCCGGGATTGCCGATTTTAACATTAAAATTTGGATTATTTATTTTTTTTGGACGATTTAAAGGTCAACATTAATTTGTTTTTATTAAGAACCCCAGCTTCTATCAAACAAGCAAGTTCAATTTGTGGATGAAGAAGATAATTTGCATAAACTTTCCCCTCAAAAAGAATTAGCTTTTTGTGTTTGGACACCTGAAACTGAAAATAATTTGATTGTTAAAATTAATGAAGAAATTAAAGAAAAGGAAGGAAATGAAAAGATTGAAGAAGGAGAAGTGGAAGAAATGTCAAAAATTGATGGTCAAACTGAAATTGAAAAAATTATTGAAGAACAAGAAAAGAAGGATATCGATGGTTCTTCAAGTGTTTTGAAGGCAAAAATTGGGTAAGAAAATTTTATTTTAAAAATTATTTTTTACCAAGACAAGTTTGGTACTTTGATAAATGTCCAAAATTTGCGATAACTTTGGGAATTTTTAGCTGGTCATTCGTAGGGCCGGATTTTTCGAACCGGGCCGACGTTCGAATCATTCTTTCGGGCTTTATTTTCATCGAACCGGGCCGTTCGAGTCTTTTCCGGGCCGGACCGGTCGAGTCTTTGGGCCAAAATTCGATGCATGGTTCGATCTATCGGGCCGAACCGGGCCCCCAACCCTAATCATTAGGTCTTTTATTCTGCAATTTTACTTACTAATTTTGAATTTAATCAATTAAAATTTAACAGTTTTGAAGAGGAAAAACAACCAACTTCTTCCTCTCAACCACCCATCATTACAGAACCTCCACCAAAACAGTCTCAACCAATTTCTTCTGTCGGCGAAACAACAATAACTACAATTACCACAACCCGTAGAAGTCGTTCACCTCCACGTGTACTTTTGACATCTTTACGTAAATCGCCTCAATCATTTCCGCCATTGGGCAATTCTTCTTTAGATTCACAACAAAATTTGGCAGAAAAGGTTGAAACAAAAAAGATTTTATAATTAATTTATGAGATTAAAAGAAGAGCAACGATCGAAAATTTTCTCAAGAAAATTTAGAGCTCTTCCTGTTTTCTATAAATAATTTTTCAAAATTAAAATTATTTTTAATTAAAAAATTTTTAATTTACTTTTTTTAGAATGGGCGTCAAACAAAATCTACAGTCAGTGTCTCTTTTGGAGAGGTTGATGTGAAAAAATATAATGAAAATAAAGAAGAAATAAAAGGAAAAGAAGAATTAACAAAACAAAAAGGAGAAGAAAAGTCTGGAAAAAGAAAAGTTTTTTTAATTAATTAAAATTTTAAATAAAAAATATTTAAAAGGTCTTTTCAACAAGAAGTTTAAGAATGGTAGCAAACCGTGTGTGTGAGGCTAGTCCTTTATTACGTCGACGAGGGCATAGTGCTAATGCCCCGCAGGAAAGACAAAAAGAGGCGGGAATGGGTAGTTTTTAAATAAAAAATTTTTGAAAAATTTTACAATTTAAAAGGATCTTTAGCAACGCGTTTTGGCAACAATAAAAATACTTTTGATAGTAATCAACAAAAATTAAAAACGGCAAAATCTACTTTTGCTACAACTAATGTTATAAGGTTATTTGAAAATTTTTTTGAAAGGGGTTTGGAAATTTGTAAATTAATAAGAATTGGAATTTGATTCCGTGACGGGACCGGGGGTTTTCGGGCCGGTAGCCTGAAAACCGGGTATTTTGATAAAATCCGGGTTTTTGGGGTTTTAACCCGGAAAACCCGGCCCAGGTCGGATTGGAAAAAATTGTATACTGGGTCCGGAAAATCGAAAATGTCGATCTCTAATAAGAATATTTGAATGCTTTTTTTAAATTGACTTTCAAAATTTGGTAGAATATTTGAATACCGAAAAATCTGTTAATGATCGTTTGTCAATAGGAAAAAATTTTTTTATGTGTTTTTTGAAGGAAAAGGAATGAGAATTTTCCAAAAAGCATTTCCCTTCATTTTTTCAATTTGAAACCTTTTTTTATAAAATTATTTCTTAAAAAAATTTTGCAAATACTTTTCCAATATTTTAAAACATTTATTTTCAAAATTTTTTGTAGATCAGTTAATTCTGTCCGTACAATTAATCGCCCGTATGGTGCCCCTCTAGCAGAAAGTGAATCTTCAATTGTCGCCAATTCCCCTGCTGTAGAACAATTTCCTGGAGTTTTTCCTAATGGAAAAGAAGTAATTAACAAAAAACGTGGTGGTGGGGGTATTTTTGGAACAAATTCTCGTTTTGGACGAAAAGAAGATAAAAAAATAATTGTAAATGAAGAAGATAAAAAGAAACAACAACAAAAACAACAGCAAAAGAATTCTAGTAATATTACTAATGGAAGTGGAAAGGCAAATAATTTGGCTAAAAATGGTAAGAAAATTTTGAATAAATTTTTAGGAAATTAAATTTAATTTTTAAATTTAAATCTAACAAGGGAACCTTCCGAACTGCCAGTAAAAATTTTTAAATAATAATTATACCATCGTGTAGAGCGTAGTCTATAACCTTTTATCTTTCCGGCTTTTTTGGCGCCGACTTTTTTTGCTCTTTACTGACAGTTCGGAAGGTTCCCTTGTAAGCAATTTTATTCTAATTTATTTTAAAAAATCATTTTGTATTTTTTAATTTTTCTATTCTTTCATTTTTGCCTCAACTCTATGTTTAATTCTGTCTAAGTTTTGCTCTGAATAGGTATAACTTGTCCCGATTTTTAGTTTGTTTAGCTACACCCTTTTTTCAATTTATCAACTAACAATTTTTTTCGATTTTTTAATTTTACAAATTAACGGGTTTTTTATAAATAAGTAAAAGGATTTTAATTTCCAATATATTTTTTGATAGAATTTTTATTTTTTTACCTTTTATTTTTAATTAACGGGAGAATGCCCCCTCCTTTTTTTGAAGGAATATTTTTACTTGAAAACAAAACCAATAAATATTTATGGACTTTGTATTTATTTTTTCTTTATTTTATTTTTTATTTAATTTTATTTTCAATATATTTTCTATTTTTATATTTAATTTAAATTGAAAATCTATCATGGGATTTGAAATATTTAATTTTCCTTAAACAGAACTTCGTTAACTCTTTTTATCTATTTATTTTCAAAAATTTTTTTGAATATTTTTTGGAAGAAATAATATAAAGGATTTTTAACCCTTTACATTTTCTCTCGTATTTTTATTTATTTTTTCCTAATTAAAAATTTTTTACATATTTTTTGGGTTAAATTAATTTATTTTATTCTTTATTCATTTCTTTTCCACTCAAATTTTGGTCTACTTCCCTCTCCCCTCTTATATATTCTAAATTAAATTTTGTCCAATACTTTTGTGGCTTATTGGCAATTTAAAATTTCTTTTTTCTACTATTTTTTGTCAGTATATATCCTCCCAAAAATATATCCTTTTCCCCATCTTTTCTTATTTTCTTTCGCCAATTTTCGCCACTCCCGAAGGGATTGTTTGCCGAGTGGAAATGCGAGAATCCTTCCGCTGTCACTTCTTTTCTTATTTTTGTTTAGTTTATTTTTCCACCCTTTTGGTTTTAATCTTTTCTAAACTCCGCAACTTTTGAGATTTTATTTATTTAAACCCAAAACTATAAATCAAAAAATAATAAAACAAATTTACTACTTTTTATTTTGTCAGTCACACTTCTTTGTGTAATTCAATTTAAGAAAAAAAACTATATTAAAATTGGTAATGGGAACCAGGGATGTGCATCATGGCGTTTTGGCGTGACGTTTTGGCGTTTTGGCGTGATTTTTGGCCGATTTTGGCGTGCTGGCGTTTGGCGTGATTTTCAGTTTTTGGCGCGCCAAAACGCCAAAATTATACACCCTTAAAGATGGAAATTTTTTAAAATAAATGGAGGAGTTGTGTTCAAAAAATAGAAATTTTCTGGCTATAGCCTTCCAAAGTTTTAAAAATTTTCGCCTGCGGCGCATAAAAAGGGAAGCAAACTGCATTATCAGACTTACATAAATCTCGAATTTTCGCCTGCGGCGCTAATAGAAAAATGCTCTGATCTAATTACCATTATCATGCTTTGGATACGCATCTGGAACCAAGAAAGTTTAGGGTCGGTATTAGCTAGTGTCCTCCTTAATCCTTTCTACGTCTCTTAATTAGGGAGATCAAAGAAGATAGTAGGACATCTAAACCCTTCGATATCCTACAATTCTGGTCCTGTGATTTTCCCATTTTTCATGCAATTTTTTACAAAAAGGAGGATTTCTGACTCTTGGTCTTAACAAATTTCCATAATTTTTGGTGTAGGCGCTAAAAAAGATAAATTCTGGCTCTGGGAATCGTGAAAATTCAAAAATTTTCGCCTGCGGCGCTAAAATGACAAAAAACACTGGTTTTTTCGGGCCTTAGTAGACTAAAATTTTTGGCGTTTTGGCGTTTGGCGTTTGGCGTTTTGGCGTCGTTTTTGGCCGATTTTGGCGTTCTGGCGTTTGGCGTGATTTGAAAATTTGAAAAATTGGCGTTTGGCGTTTGGCGCGCCACGCGAAAATTTTGGCGCACATCCCTGATGGGAACTCCTTTCGTTTTACCCCCACCATGTTTAACATGATAAAACCAAATTGAGGTAGAATTAAAATTTCCGATTTTGGTCAAGTTTTAAGCGTGAAATTTCTCTACTTTTTTATGCCAATCATGCTACTTTGTTGTTTTTTCTATAAAATAATTTAATTTTTATATCTTAAAATTCTCCTTATCCTCCATACATATTTTCTCAAATTTTCAACTCAATAATCCTCTCCCTTATTTCGGCCTTCTTAAAATAATTTTCGGCCACACTTTTCCTTTTCATTATTTTTTTCTTTTCATTCACCCCTTAACTAAAAAGAAAAATTGCTTCTTCTTTTTTCTTTCTTCTACCAAAGTTTGTTGATTGTTTATACCACAAAAAGTTAAGAAAAAAGCTTTTAAAATAAATGTATGTAGAAAATAATTTTTTATTTGCTATAAACTTTTTTTGTTATTTTTTGCAGTAACAGAAACAAAAACATTGAACAGCACCTCAATAAAATCAAAGTCCTCTACCTCTTTTCAACGCCCAACATTGGTGGCCCGGCTGTCACATAAAAAATCTAGCAGTCAAGCAGTTGGGACGAGTGGAGGTGGAATAAAAAAGGGTGACGATTCAAATAAAAAAGGAAGCAAAGAAGCACAAAACCAAAAAGAAGAAATTATGTGAGTTTTTCTTTAAACTAATCTAATTTGATTTTTAAAATTAACAATTGATTAGTGTAAACTTTAAAAAAAATTTTTAAAGTTTAAAAACCCATTATTCTCCATGACAATTTAGCTAAGTGTATATTTTAGTCCGTAAATAATTTTTGAAAAAATGTTTTATGAATTTCGAACTCAAAAAATTATCATTTTTTTGTTAATGCCAAGAATTTATTTAAAATTAGTTGTGTTCGAGAATTACATACATATAAAACCCCTTTATTTTAATTCTTTTAGAGGCTTGTTTTTACTTTTTCTAAATTAATTTAAATCCGTATTTATTTTTAAGCAAATATCAAATATCACACACACAAAAGTTCATTTTTCCAAAAAAAAATTAAGAAGTTGCAAAAAAATTTTTATTTTTGTTCTAAGATCTCTTGTTTAAAAAGATTTGTAAGTAGCGGAAAGGAAAGAATTTGATCGATCTAAAATGGTCGACACTCGCCGAGAAGGAGAGAATTCACATGAAAAATTAAGAAAATAAGAGGAAATTAAGAAGAATTGGACGTGGAAGTTTTTAGTTGGGAGGGAGGGAAGGAGGGTTAAGAAGGGGGAAGAATGATTGAATGAAGAGAAAATTTTTTAGTTATTTTTGTGCGCGGGTCCGCTTGCTATTTTTCATCTTTTTTAAGGAGCAAACAGCTACTTTATAGGGGAAAGAATGTTGATTGTTGTTGTTGAAAAGGTGGAAGCCATTTAAAGGAAGGAGAAGGGCGGCCAACACCCAAAAACGTTTTTTTCCTTAAAAAATCGCTGTTGGGGTTTGAGCAGTAGTATTTTTATTGCTTTTAGTTTTGTGATCAATTTATGTGTGAATATTTTAGTTTATTTTTAAGCAAATATCAAAAAAATTTTAAATTTAATTTTTTATTTAAATTATGCAACCTTTGGGATTTTTTAAATGAGTCATCTTTTTTAAAATATTTTTTTTGCAATACAAACATGTGAACCCTTTTTTGAGTGGTGAAAATATTTTTGGGTTAAATTGCTAAATCGCCTAGAAAGATTAAAAAAAACTTTCCTCAAAATCTTTAAAAAACCTATAGCTTGACGTTTACTATTTCACCTAAAAATCATAAAAATTATTTTTTATTTTCAGAAAACAACAACAAAAACAATCAACAATGCTTGTAACTACCACAACAGCCCCTTTAGGAGCAGATTTTCGTTTAATTGACGAGCCTGCTTCTTCTGTTCATTCTCACTCTACTCCATTAAAAACAACATTGGACAACATTCAAAATGGAAGGAAAACTTCTTCACTTTCTTCTTCTTCACTTCAATCTTCTACAATGCTTTTAATTGCAGAACAACAACCGTCTACTGGAGAAGTTTCTCTTAAAATGTTGGAACGGAAAATGAATGAAACTAATTTGGGGAATAATTCTTCTACTGCTCGGAGTAGGAAAAGGTATAGTTTTTTTAAATTAACATTTAATTCTCTACTATGTATTTTAAATTCAAACTTTAATTTCTCCAATTTTTTGGTTCTTTCATTTACACTCTATTTTTAATTTTGAAACAAAATTTAATGGCTATTAAATATAAAAATTAGTCATTAACACCTTCAGGTCAAGAGCTATTTGAGAAATAAAAAATTGATTAAGTGCTAATAAACGACTTGGGTTCTAAATTATTTATTGACCAATTGTTTCTTTCTAATGAAATATTAGATAAATAAATATGTGACATATTGTGTGGATAATAAAGGGAAATAAACAATGTTTAAATAATTAAATTTTAGGCTTTCTTCTGACTCAAAATTAAATGACAACAACAATGTTGCTGCAACTTCTACAAAAACTACAAAAGCCTTGCCTTTATCTACAACTGAACTGACAGATTTAAAGTATGTTAAACTAAAGAAAACTTAAGGGGAAATGTTGTTATTATGGAATTATTTTTTAAATTAATAGTGGGGGGAATATCTGTTAGATTATAAAAATTACGATTAAATTGTGTAATATTTTTAAATATTTTTATAAAAATAAAATAATTTTTAGATCAGGCCCTCGAGAAGAGCAAATGCCTTTGGTCGATGATTTGGCAAAATCAGAGGATGGTATTTCTTTTTCCCCTTCTATTGCCGCTACTTCAGCTCTTGTTGTTGATTTTCGTTCAGATTTGTATAAATTGCGCGATTCTGTTAAGAAGGTGATTAAAATTAATTTTAAAATTTGTGGAACTTGCTTAAATTAAAAAAAATATTTAGAATAAGAATAGAGAGGAGAAATAGGATATGAACAATCTAACGAATATCTTTTTTGAAAGATTATCAAAAATTTATAAAAAAATAGGATTGAGTTTGAAATTAAGAATTTTTAACTAAAAATATAGAGAAAAAATTATTTTTGCTTTCTAAATATTTATTAAATTTATTTCCTATAATTTAAAATAAAAATCTAAATAATTTTTTTGGTTTCTTCTAGTTTTCCTTTATTTTTTTTTTAATTTCTAATCACTTTTTACAAAATAATTAATGGTTATGGGACCGGAACCTTTAATCGGAAATTTGTCCAAAAACTGGAAATCTTTATAAGAAACGCCTTTACTTGTCTCAAAAATACTTTTTTTATATTTTAATAATTTTTAGGACCTTGAAGAATTGGAAACTTTACGGAAACAAAACGCCTCTTTGCAAGAACAACTTGCTGAACGGAATAAAATTATTTTACAATTACAACGACAATTAAGGGGAGATTTGTGATGATGATTTCTTTTTATTAAAAAATAAATATAAAAATCTGCAAAAATTTTGTGTACAAAAAAATTAAAAAAAAGATTTTTCTTTTTCTCGTTTAAAAATATATAAATTACAAAAGTTGTTGAGAGAAACTTTTTTTGTCGGGAGATGTTTGGGCGTCATTTTTTGGTTTATTATGAAAATATTACTAAAACTTTTAATTTTTTTAAAAATAATTTTTGATTAGATAATCTTCTATTAAGTTTTTTCAAAAAAATTTAATCCTTAAATTTTTATTTAAAAGAAATTAATTTAAAAAATGAAAATTAAGTCTATTCTATCGATAATTTTTTTTAATGCTACGGTTACATAAAAATCGCGCGCGACACGCGACAGTCGCTAGGCGACATGTCGCCGGCGACAGTCGCTAGTGGCGTGGTTACATAAAATCGGCGTCTTCCGCAAAAGCGACTGTCGCAAAGCGACAAACGCTGATTTTATGTAACCACGCCACTAGCGACTGTCGCGCGCGTCTTGTCGCCTAGCGATTGTCGCGTGTCGCGCGCGATTTTTATGTAACCACTAAATTATTAGTTTTTCTATCTTTTTCAACTATATTTTCTTTATTTATTTATCTCTAATTTTCACGGTGGTGAAAGTCAGAGTACTGTAATGTATAGGACAATTTGTTGCCACTATTTTATTGTGGCTTTTATATTGTGATTTTTTAGAATTTTTCCATTGATATTTCGATTAGAGGTAGGCGCGGGACAGGATCCCGACGAGATTTTCAGGGATCCCGATCTTAAGGCCTTATAAAATTCTCTAAATTTTCGCCTGCGGCGAAAATTGAGATACGAATAGAGCTTTGATACGAATAGAGCTTTCGATTGCTATATAGAACGTATTTTTTGACTGAAAAATAGTTAATTTTCATTTAAATTACTCCTGTCCCTATCTTTATGTCGACTACTGTAAATAAGATTAAATTTGTAAAAATCTAATAGATTTAGAGGGATATCGGTGGATCTATATGGGTCTTATATCGGAACTAAAACTCCGGTATACTAAACTATATCCAAATCCCGACTCGGGATCCCGGAAGTGCGATTTTGCCGACCTCTAATTTTGATCAAGGAAATGGAGATACAGTACTTCAAAAAATATTTTAAACCCCTAGAACTTTAATAAAAAATTTTCTTTTAGGCTCATTTTAAAGCCCATAAAATTTCAAAAAAATTCAAAAAATTCTTTTTATCTTTTTTTCCTCCCCAAAATAGGGAGGAACTCATCAAGAAATGGTCACTTTTTCATGTTTTTGGTATCATTTGATAGAGAATTAAAAGCTCTACAACATATAAAAAATCAAAATTATTGACCGATTGATAAAAAGTTATGATAAAAATACTCGATAGCATACTGAAAATCTCAAAAATATCGAAAAAAAGAATATTTTTTGCAAAAAGTATACCTTTTTGTATACCTTTTCCTTTTGTCGCAAAAAAGTGTCGCCAAAAATTCAAACATGTTTGAATCAAAAAAAGTGTCGCCGGCGACAAGTCGCCGGCGGAAATCGCATTTTATGTAACCACTCAAAAAAGCGACAAAATCGCGCGCGACAAGTCGCCGGCGGAAGTCGCGGTTTATGTAACCACTCAAAAAAGCGACAAAGTCGCGCGCGACAAGACGCCGGCGGAAGTCGCTTTTTATGTAACCACTAGAAAAAAGCGACAAAATCGCGCGCGATTTTTCTCTCCTCTTTTTACATTATCTTTTCTGTCGCGTGTCGCGCGCGATTTTTATGTAACCGTAGCATAATGTTTTTCATAAAATTTTAAACTTTTTTGGGGATATCTACAAATTTTTGGTTTGGTTATTAGTTCTAGAATTTCTTAGGACCCGCCAACTCTAAGCATGATGATTTAAGGAGGGGGCATTTTTTGTTTTTAGAAAGCAAAATGAACCTACCTTACAAAATTTTCTGAAATACTTTTACATATCTAATAAGAATTTATTGAGAGAAATTTTAGTTAAAAATGACATGCTCTTGAGCTATTCCTTTAAATAAGGAAAAATTACATGAAGACACAGAATTTCTAAAATAATTTTATAAAATCTCACTTGTTTATCAGTTTCACGCCCAAACATCTTCACATTAAAAAATAAACTTTATTAAACATTAATTTTTCCGGAAGTTAAAATAACCAATATGTACATATATAAAAATTACAAACCAAGTTTATTTTTATAAATTTATTCTTTCGTTTTGTTTTTCTTTTTTCAATTCCCGATCTTTCATTTTTATTAATTTGATTGGGACTTAAAATATTTTTTTATTTGTATTTTTTGTTTTTAAATATGTATACTTTATCTGATAAAAATAAAATATAAATTTACTTTGGGGGAATTTTTAATTAGACATTTGAATGTTTGGAGGAATTATTCGTATTATTAAATTAAATTTTGTTCGTACAACGAGGACGGTTATTTTGAGAAAATCCTTTTAGTTTACTGAAATCTTAGTTTTTTTTGTTTTCGGACCAAATTTCGGAAGCACTACACGTTTTATCTAGTAGACCGTGGTTGGCAACCCTAATTAACAGTTTTAAAAATTTTATATTTCTACCATTATTTTAATTATTTTTTAAAATTCTCTCACTTTTATTTTAATTGATTTTCCTGATATATCCTCTCCCTCTCTCATCCGCCAGATTAACTATATATGTGGGTATTTGGATATATTATTTTGGATTATTCAAACATTATTTGGGGGCGATTAAGTTGTTTCGCTTCAATAAATTTTAAATAATTTTCAATGGATACTTTAAAAACAAAAATTTTCGACAAAATGACCTGAAAGTTTGAGCTAATATTATTGGAGAGAAAAGGTATTATTTAAGTTTTCCTGACGGACATTGTTTTGTTTAATTCAAATGTTAGCAAAAGAACTGTTTATATATTTGCGGTTAAAACTAAGAGGTTTAAATTAAAGTTCTAAAAATTAAAAAAAATATATAACGGAAATGCTAAAGTATCTAAGGAATTTTTTCCCATAAAGTTGAAGAAGCAAATCTAGAAAAAAGGAGACTTGATTAACGGTCTCAGTTAATAAATATTATCCATTTAAAAAATTCCATTTAAAATTTTTTTAATTCTCGAAATAAAATATAAAATTTTTTAACACCTTGGAAGTCTTTTAGTGGAAGTTAGTGGAAGTCTTGGAAGATTTTTAGTCCCCAAACAGAATCTAGCCAATATAAAATTTCCTGATTTCGATATTAAAAAAACCCTATTCCCCAATAAATACTACTAAATTAATACATACTAAATTAAATATTTAATTATTTATTTGCCAAATTATTTTACAAATAATTCTTTTTAAAAACAATTTTTCCACATTTTTATATTTACTCATTCAAATAAACTAATCTCCGTTTTCTCTCCCAAATATTCTTTTTCTGATTGCTTTTCGGATAAAGTCTGCGCACTCACTACTAAACTACCCATGCATTTCACTCTCTTTTTATCGGCGTTTTTGTTTAAATTTATTTATTTTTATATTTATTTTAGACGACCTTTTTTAAACAAAAAAATTATTTTTTTACAAATTAATTTATAATTTTCCGAAATTAATTAATTTTAATTAAATTAATTTTCTTTTAAAATCCGAACACTTATCATAATTTAATTTTTTTTGTAAAAATAATTGACCTAAAAATTGGGGTTTTCTTTAAAGATTAATTATTTAAATTTAGGTGATTATTCTTTCAGAATTTTTTTTCTTTAATTATCGTTAAAAAGGATAAAATTATATTAAAATCTTATAGAATTCTTGCAGCTTCTCGTTCGTTTACTCAATTTCAATTTAAAAATAGAATTCTGGATAGTCCACAAAACCTTTAAAATTTAATATTTTCCTTCTTTTAAATAAAAAATTGAAAAAATTTTAATTAAAAAATATTTAAAAAATAAATCCAGTCTTTCTGAATTATTATTTACTTATTTAGAGTTTATTCTATTTTTCCCTTTAACCTGTTATATATTCATAACCTAACTAATTTATAATTTCTTTTTTATTTAGCTAATAATTAAATAATCTACAGAAAAACTTTATTTTTCAAATTTTTTTTCTCTTCATACAAACAAATTCCAAAATTTCCAAAAAAAAATTTTAGCTTTATTTTTTGTGTTTAGCTTGCCTGTCTGTTATTTTTTTAATATTTGAAGCTTTTGCTTTTTAGAATTTCAGAAAACCACTAAAGTTTATCTATTCCTAATGAGTTAACAGCTTTTCTCGCTCAAAAATTTCCATCTCTTGCTGGTTATTTTCAATCCATTTCTTTCTAAAATTTTTTTAGAAAGTTCTCTGGTTAGTCTCGTTAATAAATTAAAAAATATTTTTTATAAAAAATATTAATTTAATAATTAATAAAATAATCAATCTCCCTCCCTCCCTTTCTTTTTTCTTTATAAAATCTCCCCCAACAATTTCCAACTGCGTGAATACACAAAAAGGATAAACAACCCCCCTCCCCCCTCAAAACCACAAAATCACTAACTTTTCTTCTTTATCCCCCCAATTTTGTGCCTAACAAACAAAAATACCCGCCGGAGGGTCCGTCCACGCAGATAGAAACAAACCCAAAATCTTTTCCTTCTTTCCCCTCTCCTCTATCTTTTTGATTGACCGAGATATTTTGGGTCATTCTCGAATATATATTTATTTATTTTTACTGTTTAAATGATTTGTTGTAAAGCTAAAATATTTTTGTGTTGCTGCCAATTATTTGTCTGTATGTACTCTATTTATTTTGGTTAAAGTTCCGCGCTGCGTGACTTTTCTATTTTTGATTGTTAATAATCATTCCAGACAATTAATATTTTGTTATGATATACCGTATTTATTCTAATAGAATGGCCGCCACTCTATTTTTCGATACCCCCAAATAGGGGCCATTCTATTGGAGGGGCCATTCTAATGGAGGTGGCCATTCTATTTTTCATAGGTAAAAATCAAAAATTGGATGAATCTAATGT